ATATCCGATTCTATGTTTTCAAGTATCCACGTTATTACCGTTGAATCTGCTTGTCTCCATTTAATATATTTGGCATCATCAGATTTGAGAGGTGCGGCGATGATGTGCTTGAGCCGTCCTCTCCCGTCCAGAGCCAGGCTCATTTTACGCGCCCAAATGGCGTAGTTCCTATCGTTGAGTTTTTCCGCCAAATTTAACGGCTGATTGGAAGAGCTCTCGATAGGTTCGGCCTTGGGTGCTAAATTCTGAAAATTTTGGAGAATTTCCAGAATTTGTGCAAGGTTGACTGGCTGCTTCATTGGATCGGATTCCCCTGTGTAGGTGGAACTCTCTGGAGTTGGATCGGACATTTTTTTTTATGGTAGATGATGAACGCTGCGTATCATTCAATTGTTTTGATCAAATGATGGCTCCGATACCATATTAGAAATATAGAATCAATTCACAGCTGAAAAATGTTCATCTTATTGAATACATCTCTAATAATGTCTATAAATATTACAAAGTTAATAATGAAAACAATCAAGGAAAGTGAGTGGAAGTTAATCAAATATCCTAATTGGTAATTTGATTCCAATCAAGGATATTATCAAGATATTACACTATTCCCTTTTTGTTTGATATTTCTAACATCGAAGACGTTCAGAGTCTTCCCTATCCGATATGAGTTCGTATCATTCGTGCTCTCTCTGAAAACTTGCACCTGAAGATATTGGTCGCGATGAGAGTCGTCCCTATCAACATCGTTTGAAAGAACAACATTAGCAACGAGCACGGGAACAATGTCAGGAATAGGACCAACATTAATTTCCTCCTCAGTTTCCTGGTCAAGAGAATCGGTGTGTTGCATAGTCACCGTATGGGTCAAACTTGGTGGATGGTAAAGCCCCGTCGGTGCCGGTGCGTGTACATGCTACTCGTAGAGTGCTACGTCATGGTGCAACGGAGGACCAGTGGCTTGTTAGTTGGAGTGATGGGTCTCTCGATGATGCTACCTGGGAGCCAGTCTCGGTGATGCGCCAACATTTTCCTCACTTGCACCTTGAGGACAAGGTGCCGGTCCAAGGGGGGAGAGTGTTACGGAGATTACTGGGCGTCATACATGCGAAAGCACGGACCATGAAGCGGCTGTGGAAGAATTGGGCAATCGTCGAAGTGGACGGGTTCGACGGACTCCGCGATGGCAAGAGGAATTCGTGAAGCAGTAGGGGTTCATATTTAATATTCATTACTGTGGACTTTAATATTTGAATTATTCATTATTGTATTAGATTTTATTTGGTGAGCGTTTTATAAGCTCCTTCGAGGGTTTCTTTACGGTTCTTTACCTCGTCGCTTTTTTTGAACCGTCAGGATAGATAACCTAGTTTCGTAGGATTAGGATTTCTCTACATCTATATATCTAGAGATGTACCCATTCACAATAATGAGCATAATAATAACCAAACCCTAAAAAATACTCTCTCTCGTCTCTTGAAGCGTGCGCCTCCCTGGGCGCCGTTTCTCTTCCTCTATTCTTTTCTCTCCTTCTCGAGAGCTTGAAGACGCTCTCTAGTCTTCTCAACCCGATACGGAGTCGTATCATACGCGTTGTGGAATCAACTATCGTGTCGATCTCGATTTCGAAAATATAATGTACACAGTATTGCATTCCCAAATTCCAATGCTGTGTGGTTAAATATACACTCCCTCCTGAGTTGTGTCTTTGCTGAACAAGTTTTATTTACATTATTGGAAGTCACAAAACACATGAAGAGCCTTTTTTTTGTTGTATTGGTTAATCTCATTTCACTTCTATCTCCTTTGGAAGTTAAAGGACTTGATAGCATATGCAAATACAAAGCAGAATAGGATAGCCCAGCCAACATGAGCTGCTGCAACAACTCCTAGGAAGTCATAGTCATACCCCAACCCGTCTTTGAGATAATCCTTGACCCTCATGTCAACACCGCCCGGGATTGCCACCGTATCCGTTCTGTCGCCTACCTGCGACGTAATTAGACCGTATATCGTCCACGCCACGGGAGAGCCCCAGTAGTACCACCTCCACCACACCGGGATTTGCTGCACACACACACGTCATTAGATTATACACTCATGAATCGCGTGGAAGAAGAAATATAATGTGTTTGCTTCCTAGAAAAGGCGAGATATTTACTCTTATACTTGTTAAGGGGTTCGCTCATTCGTATTTAGCCGATGTGGGATAACTCCAACACCTTGTTTGTGTTTTTCATAGGGTGCCCCACAATCATGGTTATGCAATGGGTCAAGGTCATATATAGTCGGATCGTATGACTCTCATACCATGTTAAGAATAAGTGTTAGGTCTAAGGTTGTGTTCCATTCGTGTCATCTGGTTGGATCGGATAATTTTTTTTTGAAGATCTGGTTTGATCTGATTTGGTTTTAATAAGAATAAGTAATAAGTTGAACGGAACGAACCTTAACTCACTCTAAAAGAGCTCTTAAGAGGTAAGGTTTATCTCATACTCATTAAGAGATTCGTTCATTCATATTTAGCTGATGTGGGATAACTCTAGAGAATTTTTATACAGGTCGTGCACTCACCGTTCTCGGAATGAGGAAGCCCGAGAAGAGATTCCAAAAGCTGAGGAAGAACGACATGACAATGGCGGCGATCATGTAGTGTGGGGTGAGTGCCACAAGCATCATCCCGTACATTGTGAAGTAGACGAAGCACATGAAGACGTAGTAGTAGAACCAAAAGAAGCGGTGAGCTTCCCATTGGAACCCGATCATCGAGTAGAGTACAAGGCTGTAGATGAATGTCTGTATTGCAATGTAGACGACCTCTATGGCCACCTACGTACATGTCATAAGAACAAGCTCAAGTTTATGATCGTAGGTCCAGGAAAAGTTTTTTTATACTCTAACAGTCTTACTCCTAGAGGAAGAGAGGCGGTTTCCAAAAAACCCATCTGCTAGATATGTTAGATTCATTGAAATAATCGAAAAAGAATTCGAGATAATTCGTAATGAAGAAAAAGAAATTCTTGATTACCTGAGCAAATGCATAGGGCAATGGAGAATACATCCCGGCTGCTTTTTCTCTATAGAAAACTGTCCTCTCTACGGATACGACAGATTGCACGGCAGAAGTATTTGTGCCTCCGAGGAACATGACAGCAGCGTACATAGCTCCCATAAGATTCATCAGGTCTTGTTGTTTTGACCTGTCGCATTCGTTAATTAGTACTCAAACACAGGAAAATGGGAGAAAGAAAAGCAAACCCATACTCTTTTTTTTAGTCTGGGAGTTCTTTCAGAACTGTGAAGCTTACATTTTATTCCCTTTTTTCCAGAAAATGACACCAAATATAATCCCTATTACAACCGTCAGGAAAAAACGGATCGCGTTGTACTGTGGGTTCCTCCAATAGGACAGGTTCATCTTCCAAAAGCAGGCTTTGCATTGAGCAATGAAAGGCTGGGCATATTCTGTAGGGAAGTGGAGGTCTTCGGAACCTCGCGCTGGAGTGCTCAACTGTTCAACGAGATCTTGATTCCTCCTGTGAAAATGAGAAAGGAGACGTTAACATCTGTTAGACTGAAAGCGAGAAAAATAAAAAATAAAAAAGGTGTGTGGGTCGTGATCATGAGTACCGGTAGAGGTCAGAATTGGCATAAACGTCTGAAAAATCAATGTCAAGTTGAGCCTCAACTGTAGGAGCACTGATCTCCAGCATCCAGGTTGCCGGATTTTGTCCCTCTTTGATTTTAGTAACCCCTAGTATAGACTGAGAAATAGAAACTGTAAACAATATGATCACGTTTTGTACTTTGAATTATATAGGGTCTCGTCCAAATACGAGAGAATTACTCTTAAGTTTTGACAAATGAGGTAGTAACTCACCTCAAAGTATTGTATCAACAGGCAAGAGTGGTGACCAAGAGGCCCGGCGTAGATTACTTGCCCTCCCCTTTTCATTAGCAATAGCTATAATAATAAAATATAAATGTTAGAAGAATGGAAAATGTTACTTTAATCCCAAGGATGACACCATCACAGACAATCACATGCACAGACAGTCATTATATGTGAAACACGGGTGGTGTCACACTTTCATTTGTGGTGTGACTATGGCATGACCATAAAAGAATATTAGCCTTAATACAAAAACCAAATCAAACTAAGCTTTTCCCTCTAAAGGGCCGGTTTGAATGGAGGGTGTTCTTGGAAGATATCAAATTAAGCCCTCCTAAGTCCTCCACTCCAAGACCCTCCATCCAAACAGACCCTAAGAATTGAAACATTGATACTCCCTCCGTCCCACTCTCTTTGTCGACTTTTCCTTTTCGGGCAGTCTCATTGTTTTTGTCCACTTTCCTTTTTGGCAAGTGTAGTGCTTACAAATTGTCAATTTTGCCCCTCCCTTTTTAAATGTACCCAACCCACTATCTACCATCTATAAGGGCAATTTAGACCATTTCCCCTGCTTTATCCCAAGCCTAGGTATTTGTGCCAAAAACCAAGTGGACAAAGCGAGTGGGACGGAGGAAGTATATACCAATGACTACCTCATCAAATGCTTCAAAGATGTCTATGCTGGGTTGGTGTATTGTACAAACAACAGTGCGACCCGTGTCCACGGTGTTTCGCACGGTTCGCATCACGATTGCAGCGGCTCTAGCATCTAGACCTGATGTGGGTTCATCCATGAAGATGATGGATGGGTTAGCAACTAGTTCTACTGCTATTGTCAGCCTCTTTCTCTGCTCTGTCGAGAGACCGTCCACGCCCGGAAGTCCAACTAGAGAATCTCTCAAGGGATTCAACTCCACCAACTCCATCACTTCCTCAATGAACATCTTCACAAAAAAAAGACAATAAAAAACCAATCTTTACCTCTTTTTTCGCGAGAAATTCATGTGAACTGTGAAAATGGTAGTGGAGGAAAGGTTTTAGTACCTTTCGTTTTTCCTTGTTCACATCTGGAGAGAGACGCAACCAGGCAGAGTATACAAGAGACTCGTGAACTGTAACATGTGGAGAGTGAATGTCATTTTGTTCACAGTAACCGCTTATCCTAGCAAATGTGGATTGATTCTTGGGAAAACCAGAAACGCTGAGGTTCCCCTCAATATAGCCGCCTGTTTTTCTTCCGGCTAAGACATCCATCAGTGTGGTCTTCCCAGCTCCACTTACACCAACCAGAGCTGTGAGAACCCCTGGCCTGAAAGAGCCACTCACGTCTCTCAACAGTTGGAGTCGCGTCTCTTCGATTCCTTGTTTTTGCATTTCCTGGTGAACACATAATCATAATCAACAATTTGACGCCTTTTTTCAAAATGCCAAAGCTAAAGGCTAAAACGGCACTTACAGGTGGCATATCGACATAGTAATTGATATGGTTGAATGCAAGAGATAGCGGTTGGAAAGGAAGTACCATCCCTTTGTTCTTGCGCGCATTGTGTTCAACCCTGGAGCTTTGTCCAGAGTGTCTCATTCCCACATCAATACCTGCATTGATGTAAAACAGACATAAATGTTGAGGAACCAACTCAACCAAAAGCTCAAATTTGTGCTTGAAAAGCCCAAACGTACCCTTAGAGATTGGAAGTGTAGATGCTGCGGAGCTCCCGTCCGTTGCTACTTTACTATATGGATTTGACCCTTTCTTCTTACCATTGGTGTTTTTCATGTCAGAAACAACGGATTTCGGATCTCCAAAGGCTGCATTTCAGAAACAAGCATGGTAAAAAAATCTTGTCTTATGATGTTTTTACATATTACGATATAGCATCGAAATGGTGTCTTACGGTTTAAGTATGTCAGTGCAATGACAAAGCACACATTGAAGAGCAGTGAAAATCCTAAAAGGGCGATTACGCACACCCAATACATGTAGTCATCTACATACATCCCCCTCGACTTAAGAAGTAACGTTCCGACTGTATTTTCACTGATCCTTGGATCACTAATGGGCTGAAAAAAACCAAACGTGTGGGGGCATTTTAGACCGATAAAATCTGTCATGAATCAAGAAGCATAACTGGTTTCCACAAAAGACTCAAAAGGCTTACATTGCTCCATCTTTTGTCAAGAAACTCATTGATGGCCAAGGCGTTTTGTCCATAAGACATGGGGGACATGTAATATCCCCATCTTATCCATGGTTTGAGGTCATCTACATGAAGAGCATGGAAGATTTTCACACATATATATAACTGAGAAGTAAAAGATAAAGTTATATGTTAGGACAAACTGTTGTTTACTAGGGTACTGACCTTTAGCAACAATAAAACCGCCAAGAACAAACACTATCAGCAAAGCAAAAGTAGCATAAGTGCTTGCAACAACTTGTGATCTTCCAAGTGCAGCAATGAAACGGAAGAGCGACAAGGCCATCTGGTGCAGAGAAAAGAATGCCAAGAATTGACGGAAAACCCTGAACGAATGCTAACTGTATCAGTATAGTCTCTCTAGTGCTAATGTGATTTTACTGGTTTTTTTAAACTTAATTGTCTGATATTGAACAAGAAATGCATACCTACTAGCAGAGGGAGCAAAACCAATGGTGTAGTAAGTAAGAGAAATCCAAATGAGTGACTCCATAAATGAGAGGGGGATTTTCGTAAGCCAAATAGGGAGAGCAAAAGCCCAAGCAGGGAAAAACAGGGAATCTCTCTGTTTAAAGAAGACAGGAAGTCTGGAGACTGTCAGTGCGAGCTCCGCAGTGCCGTTGAACATCACATTAAGGAGACTGAAAAACAGTGCCCCGTAAAACTTTCCCCCATCTTGAACTGTCCCAGATTTCATCTCTGTCCTAAAGAACACCGTGAAAGCGATTATCGACATCACAGTGATTTGGAAAGTCTTGAATATGTACAAGAAAGAATTGCGTCTCATCAATAGACATTCCCTAGACAAGCATGCCTTGAAGAGTCCCATGTTGGAAATGCCATACTTCTCGGTTTCCAGTGCTGCAGGGTGGGTTTTGGTCCTTTCGTAGGGCACTGAAAGGTCATCATATAGCTTTTGTCCTACATGAAAGTTGTTAAACCGGTCTGCGAATTCGGGGACTGAGATGAAATGGTAAGGTTCGTTTTTTCGAAACCAAAACTGTTCTTGGTCCTTGAGAGAGGTAACTTCTTGCAGAAAGTCAGCAACTCCTTTCCTTTCTGGGCATTTGAATCCCACGCTCTCGAAGAACTCAACAGCATTGTCGCGTGGGCCGTGATAGACGATTTGTCCCTCGGAGAGCAAAATGATGTCATCGAAAAGCTCGAATGCTTCTGGTGCTGGTTGGAGGAGAGAGATGACCATCGTCACGTCCATTATATGGACCATTTGCCTCATGTATTTGACAATTTGGAATGTGGTGGAGCTGTCGAGGCCGGTAGAGATCTCATCCATGAAAAATACTTTGGCTGGACCAACCAACATTTCTCCTGCATTCACACTATCCATTGTTGTTGAACACTATATGAAATCTAAATGCATATTAAAATAATTTAAAATCATAATCATATGTGAATCTTCAAACACCAAGAACTTATCTTTCCATAGTATTTTTTATTTTTTATCATTAAAATGTCAATGCCAATCCATTAACCTGTAGTCACACGCTTCTTCTGTCCTCCAGATATACCTCTCATCATCTCATTCCCCACCATTATATCAGCACATATATCCAAACCAAGTATCTGCAAATCACTTTTCACAGTTCAGTAAAAATTTCTCGATTTCCTAACCGCGCATAGAGTTAAAACGATAACAACAAAAAATATGGTAAAATCCCACAAAAAATCCCAACAGATTTGGTAAAACCGCACAAACAATGTGAACTGGCGTAGTAAGAACAGTAGCACGAACAAAGAAAGAGAAGAGGAGTATACCTTAAGAACATAGTCTGTGACTAGACTAGATTCTTGGTCTGCAATGGCAGTGGCCTTCATGAATGCATCAATGTCAGGATCGGGTTTAATCCCTGAGTCCCTTTCGCGCCTTGACAGCTCCGTGAGAAGTTCATATCTGGTTCCCACTCCGAGAGCACGTCCAGCAAAGTCAAGTGTCTCTCTCACTGTCATCTCCCCGTGATGGAGGTCATGTTGGCTTATATAAGCACATGTCCTTTGAGGAATGAATTCGGACATCTCATGACCGCAATATGTGATCTTCCCCTCAACCTTAAACGACAACAACAACCCAGTAAGGGCCAAAAGAGTGGGAGAAGTGTGGGTGGGGCACGCAAACCTTGCCCCTACCTTAAAAAGGCAGGGAGGTTGTTTCCGAAAGACCCTCAGTTCAAGAAAAGGGAGTTACACAGTAAGATTTGAAGCTATGGGCCATCATACCCTAAGATCCTTGTCCAATTCTCCTGCAAGTGCCTTTAAGAATGTAGTCTTACCCGAGCCGGGAGGCCCAAGAAGTAGTGTCATCCTGAAGAGAGAGAGAGTGGAAGTGCAAAGTTTTTAACCATTTGGGGAAAAAATGATCACAATAACCATCAGCAGAGTGCTTCTTTGTGAACAAACCTTGAAGGTTTTATGATTCCATTCATGCCCCGGAGTATCTGAACTGCTCTTTTCTTTGATGGGAAAACCCGTATCTTTTCTAGAAAACTCTGCCAAAATCATTGAACATTATTAGCATACAACAACAAAAACAAACCCAGCAGAAAATTCCCACAAAATTGAACATTATTAGCATAATTTCTCATGATCTTCAAAAAAACACAGTTAGAAGCTCTGCCAAGAAACAATCTGCAGAAAAAGTGAATTTCCTTCTTTCCTTCTTGAAATGAATGGAGTACCTCTATCACATTTACAGTAGCATTGAACAAAGTAGGCAATGCCCTGGATCCAACGTATGCATCTCCTTCAATGGATAGACCTTCGTATCGCACTTCAATTTTTGGAATATCAATTCCTACCCTATTCACCCAAAAACAAATTATTCTTCGAACACATCCACTCGACAGAGTAATAAATTTCAAATTCAAACAATTATCTAGTTTTTCTAAGGTCTTATACAAGAACAAACCCAGTGAAATCCCATAAGAGTAGGGTCTGGGGAAGCGTCATGCCCCTAACCAAGGTCTCATAAGCTAAGGCTCTTTCAATGTGGGATGGTTGACTATAATCAAAGACGATTGATACGAGTAATGGAGATGTTTAGTTTAGGCCTCACCTATCAGTCCGTTCTCTTTGTCTTCTAAGGAACCTCTCGTTGTCATCTTCCACGGCTTTCAAAATGCTTTCCAAGAGGCGCTTCTTGTCTTCCACCCCAAGATTGTGGACATCAATTCCATGGCTCACAACCTTCCCGTTGTCCAAAGTCTGCCTCAAGATTCCTTTCCTCAACCTGTCGTACGTAGGAAGCCGGTCGATGGCTGCCCACTTGAGCTCTTCTTCATCATCATTCTCCCTAACACTTCTCTGGAACACATCTCCCCCTGGTGAGGCAAAGATCTCCCTAAGCGTCTCAGACGCCAGTCTCCTCGAACTGATTGATCTTATACTAGACACTCTACTTCTACTCATTGTGCGCCGGCTCATTGCCGTGTCATCAGCAGCAGCCAGAGTCGCTGCCATCTTCGCTCTCCTTACTACCTATCACAGCAATTACCCTTTTTTCTTGAACAAGAAACACTACTAGCTCCAACCCAGAAAAGATATTTAAGTTCACTAAATCATACACTAAACCCCATTACATAAACCCATTGTTCATATGTCTACCGTTATCGTTAGCATGACCTATACAATATATTCTAAATTTCCAACTTTGTTGGGGTCTCCCCACCTGCAGGCCATACAAAAAACAAGAAACGTTGTTTTCGTTAGACCCGCGATACATCGTAGCGTTTTGATTTAGTCCATTATTATCAAATATGCGAAATGTGACATGACATGACACCCATTTATGACAATGCAATAGGAGAAGCAGATAGAATGGGAAACAATGGAAGCATACCTTTAGTTTTGATGTTGGGTGGTTTAAAACTTTCCACTTAATGATTGATTGATCAAAATTAAGGAGATAGAAGAGAGCAGCACAGGGTAAAGGGTAGTTTCTGGAATTTGTGATCTTTTGAGTGGACTTTAAGCAGATTTTGTATTATAAAATGAATATGAAAGGGTACAGTGGTACTTGACATTAGATTAAATGCACTGGTGGACTTATTTTAGAGCAGATAAATTCAAAGGGAAGTGGACATTTTGCAAATTTGAAGGGGGGGGGGGATGTTTTTATAGAGGGTGGTTATGCCCTGCTTAGAATTCTAGAAAAGTGATTATTGTGAACACAGAATTCAAGAATCAAGCACCAACAATGTTTTCAAAAAGTTATCAAATTAGTTCCATTAAATGGAGGATTTGAAAATCAGTCATTAAAAATATAGTAAATTCCATAAATGGTTCCTAATTTTATATATATATGTGTGTGTGTGTGTGTGGTTTTCCATATTTATTTCCATGTTCTAAAATATTACATAAATGGTACTCAATTTTTAGAAACTGTTCCATAACCGGTCCTTCAGAGACTCTATGTAGAAAATTATTTTGACATAGTTGGCTGAAAAGACTTTATGGAATAATTTTAAAAAATTGAAGACCATTTGTGTAATATCTCAAAATTGGAGACTAAATATGGAAAATCACACGTAATTAGGAACCATTTATAGAATTTACTCTAAAAATTAATGTGAAAGACTCCCGAAAATAGCACGAAAATGGTGTTCCAGAAAAAAATTGTGAATCTTTAAAAATATGGAAAATCTGATTTAAAAAAATTGTCTTTAAAAATGCACATTGAATGAAAATTAGATTCCAGAAGTGGGTAGAAAACTAAATCAAAATCACGATTACTATTTTCTTGTTTTAAATTATCACTTTATTTTGGATTTTATTAGTTTTCATCCACCTCTAAAACCTTAATTTTGTACATAACAATATAAATTCAGGTGACTATCCAACCGATTCTGACATGTATTCGGAATCAAGTTTTTTTTTTTGCATAAGCATTATCAAAAGTCAAGACACTCTCAAAAGGGGCAAAATTTTGGTTTCATTACTTAGCAATCTAGAAGGTCAAAGTTGAGCTAAGTACGTACAGCTAGCAGTGAAAGGAAAATTATTACTCCTCCCTATTTTGTAAACACTTTATTGTTCCCATTAAAAATCCCTACTCTTATTATGGTCGAGTTTTAACATGTTTATTTGTCTATTTTTATTATTTTGATAAATAATTTAGTCAAATCATATCTTATTTAAAATAAATTTTACATTTTCTTACTTAAAGAATAACGATATAATTCATATTATGTTTTTCTACTTTACAAAAATCTCGATCTCATAGTTTTCACATTTCTTAAAGTCCGTGATCAAACTTTATTAAACTTTTTACTCGAGTGCCAGTCCGAAATAAACATAAATTTACAAAGTTTATTGATTACTGGGATACTACAAATTACATGATCCCAAGTAAACTAGGAGTTAAAACATGAAGAAAATATTAAAATAGAAACTTTATATTTTTATCTTTAAAATAGAAGTGCAATAATGCCAATATGTAGTAACAAAACATACAGTAAGATGTCATTATACTGCGTCATAATGTCACAGTACAAGCTTCTATTGTAGATTAACTAGGGATGATTCCTCAGTCTTTACCCATTACACTATCGTAATTCCTCCCCTGAAATAGACTTAAATTGTTAAAGTTTCAAAGATTTTGAAAACATAATAAATAAAGAATATACTACTGCATCGGATTTAATATATACGTCCGTAGTAAAGGAAATAAATTATCAAAAGTAAGAACAAAAAATTAAAATTTTTACATACTGAAAATAAAGATCAAGCTGCACAAGGAGAGGTTCTCACCGGACTACCCAACCTCAAAATATCTTCATTGTTTGAGATGACTATTATTTTATCAAGTGAATACCAAAAAATAGAGAGAAAAAGTGAACAAAATTTTAGCATGTGAATAAAAAGCATGCAACTTAATTTAGGACAAAGAAAGTACTTATAACATTGCAAAGCCCCGCTAAACAAGAGGGACTTGACAACATCAACCATGCTACTACACTTTCACCGAATGTACCCCAAAGTTACACTAATATTTTAATGATTGACACTGACACAAAATGTCGGTGCAATAGTAGGAGTCCTATTACCTCATCAGGATAGGCCATCAATACCCAAGAAATATTAATTAACAGCGAATTCACAAGGTGATCAAATGATTCAATGGTCCACATAAGACCAACATACATTGTTTGTTGTACATAAGATAAATGGACACAACATTTCTTATGTATGGTTAAACAACATCAATTATTACATAGTTCATTTCACACTGTAGGTCACAAACAAAGTTTTAGTCTGTTTACAGGTGCCATAATGATCATATCAAGCAATGGCAATACCTTCCGAGGGCTTCGCGCCGAATTCGTCCGCCCCTTTCTCTTCCCCGAGCGAAGATTCTTTTTTAGTTTCTGAGACAGTTGGTGGAACATCACCAACGACAACAGCTTCAGAAGGCTTGGCTGATACTTCTTCTGCTTCTTCCCAAAATGAAGTTTTCTTCCCAGTTTTCGAAACGGTCTGCAGAACACTGTCTGGGGTCACATTACCCGTCACCGTCACTTTTTGCGCTTCTTGATTAATATCAAAGGACTCTACGCCTGAAGATAGTTCGTGGAGGTGAGAAAAAAAACAACCGGTAGAATCCCACAAAAAATAGGGTCCGGTGTTGGTGGGTTTAGAGTGTATACAGGCCTTACCCCTACCTAGAAGTAAAGAGGCTTTTTCCCAGAGACGCTCGGGTAAAATTTGATGTACGGGAAAACAAACTACAGTAGCACAAATGATGTACGCGTAGAGAGAGAAGAAACACACATACCGACTCAAACAATTAAACCCAAAACAATTTCTAAAAAAATAAAAACCCAAAGCACACATACATGAGCGACACACTAAAAAACATAAAAACACACAAGCCAAAAAATATAAACTAAGACTCACATGTCTACCCAACTACTCTAATCCTAGATCTCCAAACGTCCTCGGTTAGATAGATAAGTAGGCACGATCAAGTTTCAACTTATTTAAGATATTTGATGGAAAATCTTAGCTTACCAAACATGTTTCTGTGTGATGATGACATGTTTTTGTGTGCTTATAAACTGACTTATAAGCTGCTCATAAGCTTGAAAAAAATAAGCCTTAGCTACTTATTTTTATGCCAATTTTTTCATTTCTCCATTTTGACCAAATTATTTACAAAATTGTAACTCACCATTTATGAATATTTACAAATGATTTATCTATCATTTAAGTCATTCTACTTCCACAAAAGAATATTTGACTTATAAGCAACTAATAAGGTTAAAAACGGTTTATCAACAAGCCAATAAACATCAGTACAGAAAAACACCCCCTTAATTCCACTTTTCATCAAAATAATTTTACAGAAAACATTTTACATAGAATTAGTTCTTCTATTGTTACTTTTTACTTACGCCCAAACCGGCTATAAGTTTCAATGCTGATAAATTAGCATATTAATATAGAGTTTAAGAGGTTAAAAAAACAAAATAAATGAACCAAAACTAGTACTCCCCCCGGCAAGAGTAAAGAATACGTGTCATTTTGGAAGAAATATTCTGCTTCACGATATGCCTCATTTCGCAATAAAGACAGTATTCGATGCCACTATTTTGTTTTTTTTCCTTCTTTGAATGTTAGTGAGGGGAAGTACAGTATATTTTTCCACTTATTAATTATTTAGAGCTTCTTTTCAACTTATTCTTATTAGTTATTCTTATTGAAATAAGATCAAATCAGAAATAGCTTACAAGTTTGAATGATATTGGACGAAGAGAACAAGCTCTTCATCTGCATAATTTATTTTGCAGAACTAACACTTATTTGAACCGGAGGGAGTACCATAGGTGGAGTTCATAAAACATCTAGCACAGAATTTGCAATAAACTGACGATATAGAATGAACATAGAATTGAAAGTCACATTCCTAGTAGTACAACCACTTGTAGACAGTATTTTTTTCTTTCTTTTTTATAACAAATATCAACCAATATGAGATGCATAGATATATGCCACAAAGATTAACAACAAGAACACACACGTTTACAGATAGAGAAACAGTTTCTACAAATGCCACCAAGTATGGCAGTATTCTTTTCCTTAAAGAAATGAGCGTGCTAAGTAGTACTCGTATAATCGTAATGATGAAAAAAGATTGCATACCTTCCATTTTCCCCAGAACTCTTTTGACAGCCCCAACACAGCCTGAGCATGACATGCCAACCTTGAGAACAACAGTCTGCCATCGAGAAGCAAAAACTAAATAAATAAATCAAGAACAAAGATTTATTCACAGTCGCGTAGAGGGTATAAGACAAGACAAGGAACTCATTGTGAAAGAGAGCATTTTGGACTAAAGGGCAGAATCTGATAGCTATTAGAAGAGCTTTATGAAACCCCAAAAAAAATGGTTTACATAAAGTTTGTTTTTCATGCTTTTTGGGAAAATTGTTTAGGGTCCGTTTGGTATAAGGAATTGATAGAATTGGAATTGAAATTCCATGGGATTCAATTCCATAGAATTGAATTCACCAATTTCAATTCATTTTTTGCACTATCAATTCCAAATCCACATAATATTTGTGCTGCCAAACACCAGAATTGGAATTGAAGTCCTCAATTCCAATTCTATAATTTGAATTCCGTGTACCAAACAGGACCTTAGAGCTTTTTGAAGCAACTGTTTTTCAAGCTTCTTGGAAGAGCTACTAGCTGACAAACAGCTAAAAACTTGATGCCAAACAGGACACCAAATGGACATGGAATGGAAATCAAAGTTCTAAACATGACTGCATCAACGTTGCACTTACAAAACATGGCATAAAAAACACAATGTCATTTTGTACTGAACCTGGGAATGTTTTCTAGGCTCCAATACATGTGCCGCTTAAACAGCTGTTTCTTTACTGATCTCCTATTGTCACCATTTCTTAGGTTTCTTTTCAATAAAAAATGGTCTTACATTAACATGTTTCCTAGCTTCACGTCTAAGAGATGCCTTTATGAGAACAATGAGTTCTCGGAAGTGTGGTACTCAAAAAAATACTATGCAGTTAATAAATTTCTACTGTCAAAAAATAAATCTAACTTGGAGTTATTGTACCTCTCTACTTACATTTCTGGAACTCATCTACCAAAAGTTGTTTCATAAAAACTCCCTGACGTCCACAAAAGTGGAAATTGAAAGATCAAACTTTGAATTCATTTTACCCTATTGAGAGGATCTAAGCATCTGAATTAGCCAAATGGAAATCAAATAACCAATTTATTCCTCATAAAAAAAACCCTCTTTGGATTACCATAAATATTAAGAAATACGGAGTAAAAATAAGCAAAAACAAGGCCAGAAGAAGCTCCAATTCCGCAATTACTATTCATTATTTCATCTGATATTCCGAATCATGGAAACATCGCAAAGTTTTAGGCAAAAAGGATTACCCTAATTAAGGATTCTGCACGATCGCGAAAAAAAACTGAAAACTATGAACTTCAAAAGTAAGATTTTCAAAAGCCAGACAAGATCGAGCAATCCGTATATCGCAATATATATCTTATAAGATTTCTAATAGAAACGAGTACCTGAGACATGGTGAGAAATCTGATTCGGAGAAGAAGAAGAAAGCGCAGAGCTTTTCTTTTGCTGTTTATTGAAGGAAAAATTGAAGAGGGAAGGAAGGGTCGGTGTTATGTTAATCCGCGTTGAAATGTTGGGTATTTATGAAGAAAATGGTAGAGGTACATTAAAAAATACTTCTCCTTCCACTCTTAAGAGATAAATATTAGTTTATTATTTACATAGTCAAACTTTATTCACTTTGTTAACATATTTTCGTCACCTATTTGATAAAATAATATAGTCATGTCATCTATAGTTTTGTAGATCTTTTGATATAGTTTTTTAATATGTAATTTTTATTATTAAATTTTACACTATTTTTTATATAAAATGATTTGAAAATAACTTCAGTCAAACATCGTAACACGCAACGAGAAGTTTATTTAAATAAGGAGAGAGTAATTATATGTATGGAGTTTGTAAAACAAGAAGTGATCCAAGTGTGTTACAAAGTCAATACTTTACGTGTGGACATTAAGATCAGAATATCAAAATTCAAGAATATACTTTGTATAATTTAAAATATTTCCTATGTCCCTATTTTGATTACAAAATAGGAATTATGATGTAAAATCTTATAATTTTTGAAATCATTTTATTTGCAAATTGGTTTGTCAATGAGAAACAAAAATTACGCGTACATATTAAAAAGTATGTCCAAAGTTTTACAAAACAAGATGTAACAAGAACATTTTATTTTATCAAATAATCAATGAAAACACACAAGTAAACAAAAGTTATCGAGGTGAGAGAGAAAATAAAATTGTAATCAAAATGGAGACGGGGGAGTATTAAGGAGTGCTTATTTTTAAAAAAAAAAAGAAATTACTACGTATTTACTTTTCACTTTTTATACGGAGTAATATTTTATCATTTTTAGAACCCATTCTTTCGTTCCAAAAATCGTATTCGAGTTACTATTTTGGATTTTCAATAACATTAGTTTGTTCGTAAGTTTTCATTGACTATTTAATAAATTAAAGAAATTTGTCGTATCTAATTTTGTAAAACTTTTAGCCTAGTTTTAAGCACGGAAATTTATACTTTTTTTAGATATTACTTTATTTATTTCTATACATTTTATAATAAAATTATTTTGAAAATAATAAATTGGACCATGCTAGGGTGTCACCACATGTGTGCTACCATGGGTGCATCCATGCTTCGCACAGACAAACACAGACGGTAATTGTCTCTGTCGCACAGACAATTATCGTCTGTGTTTGTCTGTGCGAAGCATGGATGCACCGATGATAGCACCCATGTGGTAGCATTTTCCTAATAAATTTCACCGGTTGTTAAAAATGAAACAAAATTTTTGGTGAAGTGGATAGTGCATTGGTGGTTACCCTGTAGTAGTAGTAGTACAAAGTACAAGCCAAAGGTGTAGTACTGCAGTACATATGCTTTCTAGACTTTACAGTACAATTTTATGGAAAGAAATTTAGGTGATCAAAGAAATTAGGATAGCCCCAACCTTTTTTTCTTATAGAAATCATCCTAAATAGAACTAAAACATAAAGAAAAGTATCAAAATAGGATTTTTATATTTTTTTCCCCAGAATAGGACTTTGCACTGTGGTAATGTAACTTTACATTGTGGTAATGTGGCAGTGTACATGTGCAAATTACTATACTTTTTTGGTAATGTATATAACCATGTTTGGTAATGTAAGTCCTATTTCGAGAATAAAAACATGGAAGTCCTATTTTGGTATATTTTCAATGTTTTAGTCCTAGTTTGATCTTTATCCCTAATTACGCATTTATTTTTTAAAATTTCTATTAGCAAAAATTTATTTTTTAAAATTTCTATTATTGGATTGTCATTGTTGTCGTACGTAAAAAATCCCTTTTCCCCTTCGCCCTAAATAAATTGTTCCATTACAATTAACGAGATTTGACTAAATTTATTTTCAATCAAATTTGTTAAAATAATACTCCGTATTACAAATTTTCAAAATAAAATTTATATTTTAAGAAACTAGAGAGTATATCAAATTCTTTATATAACATGAAGTAGTAGAAAGAAAAAGTAAAACCATTAATTTAGGGCTCCTTTGATAACAACATTAGGGCACTCGTAATGCATGTAACACCCAGACGCCCAGTGGCGTCATTGCATTTTTAACACCCCAGAGGCGTTAAACAACGCCCCACATGGGCTTCATCCGGGGCGCTATTGGCATTGTATTAAACTTATAATGGGGGTTTTGCCCTATTTTCTTCAAATTAAAAAAACTCTTCCTCTAAACACCCATAGAATATTTTGCTCTTCAATTTTTTAGTTTAAAAAATAAAACTCACAAACAAAATCTTTCTTCTTCAATTTTTTTTTTAAAATTAAACACCCACAAAATCTTTTCCTCTATCTTATTCAAATTAAAAAAAATATTCAATTTTTTCCATCTTTTTTAACATGAATCTCTTCATTTTTAATGTTCCTTTGTCCGGTCTCGAGTCAAACGACCAAACGAATATAATTTGCTTTCGAGAGAAGACATAACGAGATCAAACCTAAATATAATTTATTTTAAGTTTTTTAATTAATGTAATTTTTTAATTAAATATTCTTTTTTATTGAAGTTAATTTTGTTGATTTAATGAATTATTGTCGTTTAAATTTAATGTCGCTTTCTTTTTTTAATTTAATGAATGTAATTTTTTAAAATTATTGTCGTTTCAATTTCTTTAAATTTAATGAATGTATTTTTTTTAATTATTCTTGTTTCAATATAATTAAATAAATAAATAATTAAATTTTATTAATTTAGTTTTAGAAGATGTATATTATAAAATGTAAAAAATGAAGGTTTGAAGTCCCAGTTTGAAGCCCCGTGGCTTCAAACCCATTTCCACTGAATCTGTGAGGTAAGTTAAAGCTGACGTGGCAGAGAGAGAAATTTTGAAGCCTCGGGGCTTCACGGGTATTTCCAGTGCTCTTAGCGTTTAGCTTTAAAGTTTTAAAAATAGTAGGCAAATAAAGAATGACCGGTAGAACTGTAGGTAGAAATACATGTAGTCTAATTGTTATTAAGTATGCAGGAGAATGCTGAGAGCTAGTACAATATGAACTCTGAAAAGATAAAATTCGGATCTTTTCGTTTGAGGTTTACACATGTATTTATAAGGAAAGAGAGGGGACAGAGCACCGCGCGTCCAAAGCGGCGCACATTACATTCTCAGATGACGCGAGGTTGCTTCCTTTCGTCTCGTAGCATTTTGTCTCATTCCCTTGTCATCTTGTGCTGATGACTCCTCATATGGCGCGTAGCGCCCAGCTGAGATTGAGAGAATATTTCCTCACTCTTTTGTTAAACATTGATCACTACTGTCCATCGATCATTCTTTCGTTGGAGTTATTCGTGCCGACACTTTTACAACGTAGTAATCCATCCCGAGTAGGCTCGTGGATTCCATTTTGAAAAACACTTACTTAGTATTTTCAATTCAGAAAAAATACTTAATTATAAATGAACATTTCAAGAAAATACTTTGAGTCTAGATGGTAGAAATACCAAAATATATTTGATTTGACTAACATTTAATAGACATTTTCGACAAAGGACCATTAAAAAATAAATCTAAATTATAAAGGATTACAGAAGTAGTTATTATTTATAAAAAAGGACTATTTTGAGAATTGACTCAAAATCTTATAAACTCTATATTTGTTTTCTAAAAAATAATTGTATTGGTAAGTTCAAAAAGAAAATTAAGAATTAAAAATATGAAAATTAAATATGAAAGGAGTATTTATTTTCACCTATTATTATTTACTGGTATTTTTTTAGTATTATATGTTGTCAATTGTCATTATTGATATTATAATTGTGGACCAGTATTTCATTTTCCTCTACGGATAGCTGCGAACAAGCAGTGAAGCAGGCATGCGATTTGCGAACAAGACGGACTCTGGCACTCCCCAACGCCTGCCGTCTCCGTCGTCTGCTCCGGCACTCACCATTCAGCCGGCAGCTGCAATTCAGCGGCAGCCGCCCCTCGATTCAGCACCTATTCAGGCATTCAGCGAGCCAGCGTCCTCTTCATTATCCAGGCAAATACGCTGGTCTCCGTATATGTTTAATTGTTTTAGATATTTATTACTCCGTACAATTTGTGGATTTGTGAACTTTGAATTTCTGATTAGGTTAATTTTCACTACAAAAGATCCTGAGCAGTACAAGATTTCAATATTTCATTATCTGAGGATAGGACATAGGTGTAGAGATGGAGAAGAGAATGAATGGTGTTAAACCTCCCTATCCAAGACCGTAGCACAGTCCCAGAACTAAGGCCCCGTTTGGCCACAGATCAGGAGTTTCGAAAAAAGGTTTAGATTTAGTGGTTTGAAATTTAATCTGCACTACTAAAAACTTATCCGAAACACCAACACTAATTTAAAATGGTGTTCTCAAACAAGGCCTAAAGAGATGTTAGGAATAATAGGAATGGAGCTTCTAAGTGCATCCGTTGTATGTCCCAACGACCATGGGATGCTTTTGCTCCTAATATATATATATATATATATATATATATATATATATATATATATATATATATATATATATATATATATATATTCTAGCTTCCCTGTTTCCTAACTAGTTGAATGTTACTAAGCTTCTCTTATCTAAGTTTGATATGCCAATCATATAAAATGTTCAATATGTTCATATATGTTATTGAATTTCTTGAATGCCCAACTCTGCCCATTTTTGATGCGTTTGGTCATCAATGGAAAGGGGACTTATGGGGTGGGAGGGAATATGAATGGAATTGCTTAAGAGTTTGAAATTGGAAATGAATTAGAAATTGAATCTGTTGGGGGTGCGGGTGCATAGGGTAAGTGTGAATTGGAGATGAAAACTGAAGTTGCTAAGGTGTTCAAGAAAATGAAATCCAATTTTAAGTGTTTTTCATCCTTCAAAGAAGCAATATAATCTAATAATAGTCTAGGCATTGATGATGAATGAGATCTATGAATTCCACTTTAAGTACAATTAAAAAACAATAGAGTATTAAACAAGTGTGTTTCACTGTGAATAGGAACTGTGAGTTGAATTATTGTTTGCTAGGGTATGTTTAAGCTATAGAGATATGTTCCGCATTTAGTACTTTTCATATTTTGCATTCAAGTCCCTTCATTTGGTTTCTAACCCATCTTTCCCTATTCAAGTCTTCATATGACATAAGTATTTAAACACAATGTAATATTTAAATGTTAAACATGATTTCATTGTTAATTTTCGCAATGCATTTTAAACATTTATTGGGGAATGGATGATTAGCATTTAAATATTATTAAACTATTTATCAAACAGACACTTTTAGCAAAATGGATGATGTGGAAAAAGATCTTGCTGGTCCGAAAACACTTGCCATGTTGCACTTGCAAGCGGCTCATCGCTCACATCGTGTTTGGACAGACCCGGCATTTGTAGACACAAAAGTCATTCCCGTTAGTTATGATAGTAGTATCCCTGCTCAGTTTCGAGACCCGAGGGTTACAAAGAATTTGAGGCGGGCTGGGTTCTATGGGGTGCACCGAGTGCATCCCATCAGATTATATCATGGTCTCATCACAGCCTTGATAGAGCGATGGAGGCCGGAGGTGCACGCATTCCATTTTCCTTTTGGGGAAATGGGAATCACTCTATAGGATGTAGAGTGTCTTATGGGCCTTGCAGTCGATGGGTTGCCATTTCTAGGTGCGCCGGCCTTGCTCCCGGATCAGCGCGATGAGGTTTTCCGTGATATCCTTGGATGGGAGGTTGATGCAAACGATTTTGGGCGTCTTGACCAGTTCAAGATTTTCAAGTTAGGCTGTAGAGAGCAACCAGATGTGCATTGGACCGACGAGCAGGTGAAGCAATATACTGCAGGAGTTATTTATGGGTACCTGGGAGGGCTCTTATTTCCGGACACTTCCGGGAGGTATGTGACAACTGATTTTGTCCCATTACTAGAGGATTTTGACCATACATCCAAGTACAGTTGGGGTTCAGCCGTTCTGGCCCGACTGTATAGTAGCCTTTGTCGTACGTCTTTGAGGACGAATGATGGGACACGACCTAGTGGGTGTGTCCTTCTTCTCCAGCTTTGGGCATGGGCGCGGTTCTTGCCGATCAGACCTGTGGTGCGTGACTTGCCAAATGATCGCCACGGACCTCTTTTCTTTGATGACCCACACGGTGCTCGGTATTAATCTCTTAAGTTATAACTTCTCTGCAATTTATTTATTTATTCTTGTAATACTTGGATTTACACGTTCCCTTATTATGCAAAGGTGGAGAGTTCGGAAAAGCTATGCTCACACCGCGCGAAATAATGGCCGATACTTTCGGGACCAGTTTGATGGTGCCCTATATCGACATGTATGTGTCATTTTATTTTAGTGTATGTATTAGTTGATATTATATTGTCTAAATTTTATACTCTTAAAATGTAGGTTGATTGGGAACCATACGACGTCGATAGTCTACCTGCATACTGCAAAGCAGGCCAGAGACTGTGGTCTTTCGAGGGCATAATTATTTACCGGTGGCATGTCGAGCCCATCATGCCCAGACGGTTTGCTAGGCAATTCGGCAAATTGCAAACCATCCCTGAGCTCCCATATCCGTATGGCGCGGACAATCATAAGTGCGGAGGCACCCATTCCCGCGAGACTTTGTCCGCATACATCCACGAGGGGAGAGAAGATCGATACAATCATGTCGTCTTGGATCAGATGGAGGCGCTTCCATCCCCTCGCGACACCGGAGAACATGTTGGGCAGGGTTATCGGGATTGGTTTGCCTTTTACGGTCGTCGTCTAATACGGAACCCGGCTCACCACCACGACAACGGTGCTGAAAGCTCTGCTGCCGCACTTGTTGTTGCGGTACGTAACCTAAAATGCAAACAGTCTTTCCACTCTCATTAAAAAAGACTTTGCTCTTACTAATTCTTACCCTACATCCCTACCTCTCACATCATATCTATTCATCCCTAATATAAACATCACATCTTACTTTTACCCATCACATCAAAGGTAATTTGGGAAAGTCAAAATAAATATATCCTTCCCTGGCTCCCTTAAATTCCATAAAAGTCAAACCGGGAAAGAAAATTTGGGACCGAGAGAGTACTTAACTATTTTTTCTTGCAGGTTAACACTATGACTAGGGTGAGGGATCTCCTTGAGGCGTGTCCCGGAGATCAAAACAATGATGCACAGATGATCTTGGCGCAATGTAGGGATACTCTCACTCAAACTTTAGAGGAGCTTGCTCGGAACAACTACATCGGAGATGAAGATGAAGACGAACGCCGTGGTAACAGGCGACGCCGACCACAAGGATGATTGCAACCAGGGGCTGACCCATGTTAGGGATCCACGGGGTCCGGGTGACCAATACGTAATTATGTATACTCCGTATATATAGGTATATATAATTACTCTTACTATTTGCGGATTATATTCATAATGTAGAAATAACTAAGATGATTCTGATGGTAGAGCAGATCAGAGTGCTTCGTGCACCACAACCGCACCTCCGCCTTCCGCCACCGCGTAAATGCAGTAAATCCTCCTCCAATTCAAATTTTCAAATTCCAATATTATCAGGTATGGTTTGTGATGTATTGATATGTGAATTTGTGAAGTATGAGTTTGTTTGTCATTTGTGATTAGGTTAGTTTTTACGTTTGGTTCAAGGAGTTTGAATGAAAAAAAAAATAGTTTTTCCTTATTGGTTAGAGAGGAAAAAAAGTGGAAGGAAGTGAAAAATGGGAAGAGAAATACAAGAAGAGGAAAAATGATTGTTTATGTGAGTAATTTAATTCTTTTTGCCGTTTTGGTTTATCGAATATTTGGTTAGCTGAAATTTGGTTAAATTTAATTATTATTCACCCAATGAAATTTTATGTGGTTTTATGTACCTATTAGAACTAGTTATACATCCCTTCATTCCCGTACTAAGTTGTTTGTTTACTATTCACAATATTAAACTTCATTCACTTTGTATCTCTAATTTTGTTACTCATTTGATAAAATAACATAATCACGTGACCGTTTGTTTTGTAGAGCTTTAATTTTTTAATTTTTTTCTAAATCTCAAATATATTGTACTGAAAGTAGCTTCAATCGAATATCGTAAATCAAAACAAATGATTTTATTTGGGACGGAAGAGTACTTTATAAGATTATACTACAATGACACCAACATTGATACGAAAGTTCGAAACCAATTTCACAAATATACACAATAGATATGATTTTACCCTACATTATGTACCAAATGGAATAGCTTTGCAACATTGTACGAAGTACTCCCTCTGTCCTAAATTATAATGTTTGTTTACTATTCACATGGTCAAACGTTATTCACTTTCTTTCTTTATTTTCGTTAGCAATTTGATAAAATAAAATATTATTGTCACTACTAGTTTTGTAGATCTTTTGATGTAGTTTTTTAATATGTAATTTTTATTTTTTAATTCTATATCATTTGTCATATAAAATGGTTTGAAAATAATTTCGGTCAAACATCGTAAATCGAAACAGACATTATAAAATGGGACGGAGGTAGTACTATTTATCGATAATGCTATAGTGGACCTAAGATTCACATGACTTTTTGTTGACCTACATGTGAGGGTGATAAGAAAGTGCTTACTACTTTTATGAGCATTTTCTTTTCAAATTATTAAAAAAAATTAAAATGATTTTGATTTGAGATGATTTACAAAAAAGCTGTGAACCTTAGATTTAGCACTCTAACTTGCAAATCCTTTGATGCACCTAAGATGCAAGGTACATTTGGTGCACTTACAAGATAAGACAAACTCTTTCGTAGACTTTAAGTTTATGTTCATTTTATGGATCTTAGTATATTTGTAGTATAAAAAAGTGGGACTTTGCAAAAAAAAAAGAAAATATCCACATGTAAGCCTATAAAACATATGAGAAGGTTCACATTTTAAACATAGATTTTGGGATCATGTAAACATCACTCTTACTCTACAGATAAACGAGATAAGCAAATACTTTATACCTTGAATGGACATTTTTTATTTTAAAAAAAAAGAAACAAAGTTTTTTTTATTAGAAAGACCACAAATTTTGTGTGTACCCGTTCACCATGGAAAAATTGGCATATGTCACGGTCAACTCGAAACAATGTGATTGTTCCTAATTCATTTTCAAGATTTTATTTTTATTGTTTCACAATTTGAAATTGTTAACAACAAAATGAAGAAATAAACATTGCGTAATTATTGAATATACATGCATCAATTTCATAAAGCACACTTTTATGGGTAAAACATTTGCATAAAATGAGGATTGTGGGATATATATATAAATTACGGTAACAAAGTATAGTCCCTATCTCACAATTAAATTAACATATATATATATATATATATATATATATATATATATATATATATATATATATTGACTTCATATAATTTAAGAAAATTGTATAATTAGAAAGTATTAAGAAGAGAGAGTCATGATATGAGCCATAATCCATACATTCATTCCCTAAAGAAATGGTGAAGTGTAAGGTTATTTATTTGTTGTTTCGAAAACGCGTAATGTTATTTTGAGACATACAAAAAACTTAATATCAATGGTAGGATGAAGAGATTATAGTAATGTACTTCTTTTGTTCCAAATTGAAAGTTTTTTTTAATCCGGCATAGTGTTTAATAATATTATTCGTGTTAAAAAATAAAGGTTGATAGTTGAAATTGAACTGGAATAGAGAGCAATAATGACTCCCATATACGGAGTATTTGTTAACAGAAAAGTAAATAGTTTTTTATTTTGAGACAAAAAAGTATAGGAGATAGTGCAAAAATTTTAACAAGAAAACAAACTTAATAGGACAAGAAAATCACGTTTATATAAAATAAGACTCTGCAGAAGTTCTACTTACAACATAAGAAAAGATCTCTTATGTTTAATTCTCTAAATATGACTAGTCATTTTAATCTTATACAAAGTTCTGATTGACTTTGCGAAGATAAAAAGTGACAGAATCGTAACGTCAGATACATATATTATATACCATCTTCTCTTTATTTATACATACATATATATTACTCTCTATAAAAATATAATATTTAAAAATGAACCAATTGATATTAAAATTATATCAGTTACATGTTATATTTTTATATGCCATGGTCAAAAGTTAAAAGTAGTATTGAATAAAATATCAAACTAAGAAGAATCGATGAAGAATTATTTTTTCAAAAAAAAGGATGAACCCCATCCTAGAGAGGTCCTTTAGGTACAAGGCGCTGGATTTGTGTCCGGCGCTCCAAAATTGACGCGGCGCGACACACCCTGGAATGGCCTGGGAGCTGCGAAAGTTACTGCGGCGCGCGCCCCACTTTCGATGCAGAGTCGGGATTTGTTTCCGGCAAAAAAGTGCGGCAAATGTCCATTGTGATGGTCCACCGCGCCGGTCAACCCTCTCTCTTTTTAACTTCATAAATTCAACACATCTCCAACTTCAATTCATTATTCTTAGTTCTCTTAATTCATTCTCATTCCTCTCAACTCATAACTTTCTTTCCATTTTCTCATTATTCAAAATGAATTCTAATAACTTCAACTTTGATAACTCCAAACTTGATGCCGTTATTCGATTTGCAAACTTTGGTTCTTTACCCGGCGGCAAGTTTAGCCCGTTCTCGGACTCCAACGATAGCCCCTACCAATTTTCGGCCATTAATACGACCGACTACGACATTTCTGAGTTGGAGCCCATCGCTGAGGGCGTTAGCAAAGGGAAGGCCAAAAAGACGGATGGGCCGAAGAAGTACACCCAGATGGAAAGTCTGAGATTGGCGAAGTACTACGTCGATGTTTCGGAGGACGCCATCGTCGGCAACTACCAGAGACCAAAAATATTCTTGGAGCGAGTTTTGACGAAGTATAACGCGGGGAGGCCCGATGGTACGCCCGTGCGTGATGGGGAGATGCTTTAGAAACACTGGAGCTATGTGCACCCGGAAGTTCAGAAGTTCGGTGGCTTATATGTCAACGTACTCAAGACATGGCCTAGTGGCTGCTCTGCCGAAGACATTATGTCGAAGGCGTTGGACCTTTATTGTGAATCAGAGAAGCGGGTTTTCAAAATCCAGAAAATCTAGAAACTTCTTCAAAGGAGCCCCAAATTTAGCATCAAGCTGAGGCCAAAGGATCGAGATCGAAGCGTTCCAAACTCTTTGAGACTAGTTCGTACTCGAGGAGGTGGACTTCCCACATGGATCGGGCAAGGAACCGAGTGGTCAAATCAGCGCGATCGGGTCAAAGGCAACAAAGAAAGGGAATGGAAAGGCCAAGACAACGATACCTAACATGGCACCCCCACCCGAAAACCCCGTTTTGGACATAATGAATAAAAACTTTGCTAGCATGAGCGTCGCTCTCCATTGTACAAATCTCAACAAACTCATGGCAATGGATATGTCGAGGATGTCGGAGTTAGAATTGAAGTACCACCGCGACATGATGGCGGCGACCAACGTCATGGTAAATAGGGGTACTCAGTAGGATTTGTTTTTCAAGTCTTTATTTTCAAACACTTCTTTTAGTTTTTTAGTTTTTGTAATTTTAATTTTAATCATGTTAAAGTTTCTCTTTTTATTTATGTAGTATTTTGTAATTTAATGTTGTATTTGCTTATTTTTAATTTTCTCAGTATTATAATCCTTTTTTCTTAATCGTGTTAAAGTTCTCCTTTTTTCTTGAAATAATTTTTTTTATCAAATCTATATAAGTTTGGAATTAAAAAAATGATGAATAATGTAAAAAAAGGAGAGACGAGTTTTCAGGGCGGTATCATTGTAGGATTTTGGGGCGGGGCAGAAAATTAGTGGAATGTTGATGTAGTAGGCGTTGGGGCGGGACATATTTTTTATCATTATAAATGCTCTTAGAATCGGCATCAAATCTGAATCAATTGACATAGGAATGAAGTTTTGTGTGTCGCATTTACTGAGACTTCATGCTTTACATTATTTTTCTTCATTGTAGCCACCAGACTTCGAACTTGAGATCTCTTCTGTGTGCACTCTTATGTCAACGGTTGAGCTACAATATTTTTTCTACATATCTTTCTTTTCGGTTTATAATTCTTTTGGACCGGTTTTTTTATGGAGAACCGATGGTTGGGTTTCTGTTCTGGTCGAGTTCATAACAGTGGACCGGTCTATAGATTCTACAAGCCCATCGTCTTTAGGATCATTGATTTGCTGAGACCGATCACAAGCTCGGGACTTTAATCTTTTTGAAATTTCCATTCTTTCCAATCTTGTACGCGTTCTCTTCATCCGCTTTATCCAAATAATATCAGGTACATCTTCTTTATTCTTGATTTTGGCGTTAAATCTTTACATATCAGATTCAGACCTCTGACGTATTCATTTCAATTGATGTGCGATTTTCATTCCTGGGTTTCTTGTTTTCATATTGAGCTGTGGATTTTTTTCTGTTTTATAGGGTTTTCGTTTCATATGTTTTCTTTGGCTGTGTGGGGAATTGGTGAAGTTAACGACTTTGTTTTACTTGATCAGGGGTTTAGGGCGAAGAGAGTACTTTGATTTGAGGAATCAAGAATGGTGATCTGAATTCTATTTTTTTGGGGTATTGGATTGATCTCATTTCTTGACTTGGACTTGGGATATGGAGTTTTTGATCAACTTGAGGAGCTATTGAGTTTAGGGGTTTTGCTTATGTATATTGGATGTTTATGAGTGTTTTGTGAAGAAAGGATGTATAGCAATTTCAAGGAGCAGGCGGTAGCATATGTTAAGCAAGCGGTGGAGGAAGATAATGCCGGGAATTATGCAAAGGCTTTTTCTTTGTATATGAATGCATTGGAGTATTTTAAGACGCATTTGAAGTACGAGAAGAACCCAAAGGTGAAGGAGGCGATTACCCAGAAGTTCACCGAGTATCTGAGGAGGGCTGAAGAGATTCGGGCAGTTCTTGATGAGGGAGGGGGTAGTGGTCCCACGGCAAATGGAGATGCTGCTGTTGCATCACGACCGAAGACAAAGCCAAAGAATGGTGGAGGAGAAGGAGAGGATTCGGAGAGTTCGAAGTTAAGGGCAGGGCTCAACTCTGCAATAATAAGGGAAAAGCCTAATATTAAGTGGAATGATGTTGCCGGGCTAGAGAGTGCCAAACAGGCATTGCAGGAGGCTGTGATATTACCAGTTAAATTCCCACAGTTCTTCACTGGTTGGTTCTTTGATGTATTCTTCTGCTGCTGCCCGCTGTTTCTTGTTTTTTTTAAAAAAATAAAAAACATATTAGAAATTGATCATGAAAGCTGACAAATAATCATTTAATTTTAAAAAAACAAAGAAATTTCACAGCTCCTTCATCGACACACACACACACAATATGTCACCAGCATAAGCACCAATAAAACACTGGAGACTGGAGAGACAATGGCCTCTTAATAAGAATGCATTAACTTCATTTTATGTGATTCATAACATGCTATCAGTATTTTCTCTCTTTGCATGGACCCATATTACCCTGCACTGTACAGTCTACTGTGGGACTTCTGTAGTTGCATCTTACACACTAGTTGTTCAGTGCATTGTATTATGAGCATTGGACATAGTGCACAACATGAAAGGCTTCCATAGTGTTTTTTTTGGGATCGGTGAAAGCCTGAATCCCTGACCACAGGTGATAGAGTCAATGTGCTAATCAAATCGAAACCATTTTGCGCTTATTTATGAATCTTGCAGAAGTTGGTCCAAAATTGTTTTATTGTTTGCTCGGTAAAGGAATGAAATGAAATCACCTTAATAGCTAGCTTTTAGGATTCTCTTTTCAAATGAGTGAAACTTTTGGACACCTTATTGTTACCTAATGAACATATTGATTACAAAGATTTCTTTTCTTTTCTAATGAAAAAGAAGATACTAAGATTGCCATATAATCGGTCTTGATTTTTTTCTTGTTAAACTATGAAAAACAAAGGAAAGTTAAGGAAGTAGAATCCTCTTTAATGTTAAAAGTTAATAGTTCTAATTAATTTGAATAGGAAAGCGGCGACCATGGAGGGCCTTCCTACTCTATGGTCCACCTGGAACAGGAAAATCATATCTAGCAAAAGCTGTTGCTACAGAAGCTGACTCAACCTTCTTCAGGTATAATCTCAGACGATCTTCAATTCCTATTCTCAACTAAACAAAAATATGCTTGTTCTATAGTATAGTAGTATGTAGTTGGACATGTGTTACGAAAGTTCCCAGGTTTTCCTATATTCTAAAATAAAACTCCTAATGTAGCTCATGATGAGTAATCCACATTTCGGTTGTCTACAGTTAGTGCATAGCTGTGAGGTCTTTTGAATGGGCAAGAACAATAAGTTAGGTCCAATTTAACATGGTATCAGAGTTTGGTCTTGGGCCTTTTTGTGTGCGTGGTGCCTATTTACTCAGTGGTTTGGACCAGCCCATTTGTCCACCCTTTTAGTTGTTAGTCTGACTTGGGCGGAGGAGTGCGTTGAGTATCTCACCTAGGCTGTCTATTGGGTTCGAGTCTAGTATATAAGAGTGAGGTAATCATTACCTCCTTAGGATCTTTTTGGTGCGGGTGAGTTTGACCAAATCTAACAGCTCATAAAAGTATAAGTGTATAACAACCGGTTTCTTTTTCAAAAAGATTGTGAAGCTCGTATTTTCATTGGATAGCTAATTTCTCTTATATTTCACCTATCTACTAAAAGCTTGAAGGTTTGTAGGTCTTACATCTTTTTTTTGAGAATTGACTTTATGTCCTCTCTTTTTTCAATCAACTGAAGTTTTCAATGATTCTCTTAATTTATTGTATCTTATCATCTGAAATGGCATTTAATTTATATATTGTATATGAGCAGTATTTCTTCATCAGACCTAGTTTCAAAATGGATGGGTGAAAGTGAAAAGCTTGTCTCAAATCTATTCCAAATGGCTCGTGAAAGTGCTCCTTCTATTATCTTCGTAGACGAAATCGATTCATTAGTCGGCCAACGAGGTGAGGGTAATGAGAGTGAAGCTTCAAGACGTATCAAAACTGAGCTCCTTGTACAGATGCAGGTATTTTTTTATATGCATGGGTAATTTTTTTATTGCTTTTTTCATATGTGCTTAATTTCTTGGGCAGGTTTGAGGAAGAAATCAAAATAATCCAACTATAAATTTTCTAAACAATAATGTGAAAATAAAATAAGTCTTGACAGGTTTGTAGTGATTCTTTCTTCTTTCATCTCAAGTGATTATGAGCATAAGCATACAATGTTTTACCTGCTATGCTAGAGTTAGCCTGTAATCCAAATTCTAGATCTGCATCTCTTTGTAACAAAAACACTCGGGATATGTTTGGATCCAAGAAAATGTAAAGGAATGAAACATATTTAAGGAGAGTTAATTTAAAAAAATCAAAGTTATTGAAATATGGTTGCTTTTAGTTTAAGTTTACACTGTTTAGATATTTTAATTTATAGATAATAGGCATAAAAAAAGATTATCAACAAATACAACAAGTTCAACTGCCGAGCCTAAATCCCAATTTAATGGGGCCAGCTACGTGAACCAATAGAAAATCTATATAGGTCCCCTCTGTTGGAATTCTCTTTTTTCATTCTTTTCTATCATGCGCCATACGTTCATAATGTCCCAACACTCTAATGTGCATCTTACACCGTTGATCTATGTCATTTTTGGTCTACTTGCATCTCCGCCACGTTCATCTTCTCATCAAATCTGTCCTCAATGCACAACAATCGGGTCCATATAAAGCCAGTCTCATAACAATCCTACGAATTTTTCCCTTTAATCTTAGATACATTTTGAACATATAGTACTGATACTACTNCCCCCACACACACACACTCCTAAGTTTTCATTATGTTTTTCTCTCTATTATCTTTCCCTAGTATTTTCTGGGATCCAAAAGGACCTTCAATCTCTCTTCCTTTTACTAAGCAACAACAACAAACCAAGTAAGATCCCGCAATAGTAGGGTGTGTTTACGCAGACCTTACCTCTACACGGAAGTAGTAAGGCTGTTTCCAAGAGATCATTGGCTCAAATGCAGAAGCAGACAAAGTAAAAGCTTTTAGTAAGTTAAACTAACAATAATGGAAACTAATACCATGACCCATCTTATCTCAGGTGAAAAGTTATGGCTCTCTTAGGCTATTAGCCTTAGTTTTGTACTTCTTCATAACTACCATTTATTTTTTGTTCTCTCCATGCCCTTTGAATTTGATTATGTGGCAAGCATCAGTTGCATACTTTCAGCGATTTACTTGACTTTGTATTGCATTTTAGGGTGTTGGACATAATGATGAAAAGGTTCTTGTTCTTGCGGCAACAAATACTCCTTACGCTCTTGATCAGGCTATTAGGAGGCGTTTTGACAAGAGAATATACATCCCTCTACCAGATCTGAGGGCAAGACAACATATGTTTAAGGTACAACAAATACTTTGAGCTCTTTGCCAAGGTCTCTTACACTTTTTTTTTCAAGTGGTTGCGGTGAAATGTGAATCTTGAAAGTTGTATAATACGAGTTATCTTTTTTATGGATACACAAACAGGTACATTTGGGAGATACTCCTCACAACTTAACAGAAAGTGATTTTGAGCAACTGGCGATGAAAACAGACGGGTTTTCAGGTTCTGACATTGCTGTTTGTGTAAGCATCACACTATCAGATACTTATAAGTTCCCGATGAGCAATCCAATAAAGTAAAATATTGTAAAATGACTAAATTGCCCTCCCATATTTATTTTGCGGATGGTAGTTAGTCTGAATTTAAGACTTACTAGCATCACTCTCGATACATCAAATTAGTAACGAATAGTGTCATGTTTTTCAATATATGGCATAATTTCATGTTAAGCAGCACAAGTTTTCCTTGATAGACACTTATTTGAAAACGGCCTGAACAGCTTATACAACTTAAGATTCTCTTAAAAAAACATAGACATTAGGTAGGGGGTTGTCTGGCTTGTTAGTTGAGATCAGTTGTCTTAACAAGCTTATTGTAGATTCATTAGCAGCTTCTATAGTTGTTTCTGAAGATATATGTGAATGAAATTTTCTTCTCTGACCTCCCTGAAATTTCAGGTGAATGAGGTTTTGTTTGAACCAGTTCGTAAGACTCAAGATGCCGAGTTCTTCATCAAAACCCGTGATGAACTATGGGTTCCATGTGGACCTAGACAACCTGGTGCCATTCAGACAAACATGCAAGAGCTTGCCGCTAAAGGCCTAGCTTCAAAGGTAATTCGCTAATATGTTTAGTTGCGCTTTGTGAGTATCTTAGTGAAACCTTTATGTGGATCGTCGTTAAACAAATAATTTGGTAGTATCTTAATTCTCAACACTATGTTTGTCACTCAAGTTTTTTTGTTCACAACTTTTTTTTTAAAAAATATAAACCTTTCCACTTAAAAATAAAACCTTCAACCACCTAACACAAACAGCTAATCAAATAGCTAATAACTGGTTGCCGAAAATGTCTTTACTCTTTAGTATTGAAACTACTATTGCACCGTGTTTATCTATGGCATATGATTGGGAAATCAAACTCACCGCAGGTAACACCGCCGCCAATCACCAGAAGAGATTTCGACAAGGTGCTGGCAAAACAAAAGCCAACGGTGAGCAAATCAGATCTTGAAGTTCACGAAAGGTTCACGAGGGAGTTTGGCGAGGAAGGGTAATTTTTTCTCAAGGTGAAAGTTTAGCTCCCTCCCTTTTTTACTGCTGGTGAAAGTTCAAATCGTGTTTGGATCGTTACATCCTGAATAAATCTATCAATAACTGTGCCAATGAGGAAGAAAAGTTGTTATTGTTTAAGGCTTCACTTTGAGGCTTGTTGGAAAAATCAATGTGGAATTGACCATTGTATATAGGAATGCAATCAGTTCACTCTTCCTTTTTGTTAATCTGTTGCATGAATGATATATATTAATTTACCGGAGTAATTAATATTTAAACTTTTGTTATATTTTGGTCAATGTTTGGATTATAGATTCTATTTTAAAATTCTAATTAGTCTCTCAATTTCAACTTGCTTTATATACGTAATCACATTTTTGTAGGGTAAAATTTCAAGAATAGTACCTGAACTTTCACTAAAATTTCGATTTGGTACTTAAACTTCAAAACCTTTTTCAAAAGAACCTGAACTTTTACCATCTTTTTACTAAAAGTTCATTAGCTCATTACCAGGTGACCAGCAGGTCACTTTGGGCTAAATTGTAAAATCCAAATTTTTATTTTTTTTACATTCACCCCCATTTCTTCCTTCTCTTCTTATTACACTCCCATAAATTATAGTACTACGTATTCTTTTCTTTTTCAACCCACTCCCATATTTTCTTTTATTTTTTGTTTTTTCTTTCTTTTCTCTTTTCTTATTCGCTTTTCTTTCCATCTTTTCTTTTCCTTTCTTTTCTTTTTGATCCTTTTTTAACTCTTTACTTTTTTTTGTTCATTTTCACTTCTTATCATTTCTTTCCTTTTTACTTTAGTTTTCTCCATCTTGTCCTCTTTATTTTTTTACTTTTTAAATTTTTTTCACTGTTTTAATTTTTTGTATTTGTTTCTGTTTGCTATATTTTTCTTTAGTTCCTTTTTGAAATCTTTATTTATTATTTATTCATTTTCTTCCTTTTCTCATTTCTTACTTTTTTTTTCTTTGTTTTATTTTGTTTTTTGTTTTTGTTTCTTTTTTCCTTTATTTATCTGTTTCGTTATTTTGTCCTTTATCTTTTACATTTTCTGTTAATAACCGTGTTATTTTATTTTTAATCAATTTAATTAAACAAAAAAATCAAACCATACGTCTTATTTTTTTTGTTTTTTTTAAAGTTTTTTCATTGTTAATGTTTTTTGTCTATTCACTAAGCTTTATTGTAAACAATTAAACAAAACAAATGAATAAAATAAGCCCTAAATAAAAATGAAAAAATAAGACAAGAGAAAATATTTTCGATCTTGTTTGTTTCTTTTTTGTTTTTGATCTTTTTTATTACTCCCTCCATCCGGAAATATTCTTCCCACTTTCCTTTTTGGTCCGTCCGGAAATATTTTTCTCATTTCCTTTTTTAGTATACTTTTTAAGAATAAATATCAATAATATCCTTCTATTTTATCACAAATCTACTTTTTTAGTACTTTTTTAATAATAAAAGGAGATTTAAAAGTTTGTAGTATGTGCATTTTTTGAAAATTTTGTATTTTTTACTATTCCTTAATAAGCATGCCAAATCAACACGGGAAGAATATTTCCGGACGGAGGGAGTATTTTTTATCTTTAATTCTTGATATTTTAATATTATCAATTTGTTTTGCTATGTGTCATTTTGTGAACTTTTTGTAAGTTTTTTTATATATTTTGTCTAAATAACCATCTGTTTTTGTTTGCTTTGCTTTTTTATTTTTTGTATTATTTTGTCTTATATTTTTTGTTTGCTTTCAATTTTTTTGTTGGTTACTTTTATATAATTATTTTTTCATAAAAATGAAGTAAATGTTTCTAAAAAAATTTCTTTGTTTTTTAAACATTCTCTCGTCATTTTTCGTCATTTTATGAATTTATTTAGAGCCTAATTTATTTAATTGTTTAGAATAAATATTAAAAACAGACAAAAAAAGTTAACAAACAGAAAAAACAAAATAAAAAACAAAAAAATTAATATTTACGGTTTGATTTTTTCGTTTAATTAACTTGATTATATATAACACAGTTAAAAGAAAAGACAAATAATAAAGATAAAGGAAAAAATAACGAAACAGATAAATAAACAAAAAAAGAAAGAAAAAAAAGAAAACAAAACAATGAAAAAGGTAAGAACTGAGAAAAGGCATAAAAGGAATAAATAATAAATAAAGATTTTAAAAAGGAACTAAAGAAAAACATAGCAAACGGAAACAAATAAAGAAAATTAAAATAGTGAAAAAAAAATTAAAAAGGAAAAAATAAAAGATGACAAGATGGAAAAAATTAAAGTATAAAGGAAAGAAATGATAAAAAGTGAAAATGAACAAAAAAAATAAAGAGTTAAAAAAGGATCAAAAGGAAAAAAAGGAAAGGATGGAAAGAATAGCTAATGAGAAAAAAGAAAAGAAAGAAAAAACAAAAAATAAAAGAAAAGATGGGAAAAAGAATGGAGGGAAAGAAAGGGAGTGGGTTGATAAAGAAAAGAATATAATTTATGGGAGTGTAAAGAGAAGAGAAGGAAGAAATGCGGGTCAATATGAAAAAAATGAAAATTTGGATTTTGCAATTTGGCCAAAAGTGACCTGTTGGTCACCTAGTAATGAACTAATGGACTTTTAGTGAGAAGATGGTAAAAGTTCAGGTACTTTTGTAAAAAAGTTCAGGTACAAATCGAAATTTCAGTGAAAGTTCATGTACTATTCTTAAAGTTTACCTCATTTGTGTATGATTAATTGATTATTGTTCTGATACATGATATGGAATTTAAGTGGAGGGCAACATTAAATGTGAACATTAATCCTGTCATAATATCCTTAAAATTTCGAACATTTTAATCTTTCATTGGTGTGTACTTTGAAAGATTAAAATGTTCATCACAAAACAAAAGACACTTCAATTACGATGGTTAAATAGATTGATTTTTAAAAAAAAATTGTATGGAATGAAATAATGCTGCTTCCGTTCTAAATCAAACTGCTCGCATACTCTTTAAAGGGTCAAGTTTCATTCATTTTCTTTAATATTTTCAATGCCTATTTGATAAAATAATATAGTAATGACGAGTGTTTCTATGGTGCACCTTGCGTACATATTTTTTTGTGGACCTTCCCATATAAAAAAACTTTTTTTTATTTTTAAAAATAAATGCTTATCTAAGTAGTAAAAATATGCTTATTTTGTTCATATGTAAGTCAATGGTGAACCTTAATTCTACTATAGAATTTGCCAGTCATAACACTTCTTGTTTCGAAGAATTTTTTGTTTACTTTCTAAATATGCAATTTTTATTCTATAATTTCACCTCATTTATCAAATAAATTGAGTTAAAAATAGCTTTATTCAAACATTAAAAACTAAAACAGACACTATAAAACGAGACATGGGAGTAAAGTTTTTATATGTAAAAATCACATCAATATTTTAGTACAAAACAAGAGGTGATTATTTCAGAAAATTACTCGCGGGTGACGCGAGTTTTGTCGAAATAACTTTCAGGTTCCTCTATTTTCAAAAAGACAACCGAGGTCCTTATATTTTGTTGTAATGACTGGGATGGGACATTTCATCCAATACATCATCCGTAAGTGTTAATAAATGTATTTTTTCCTATTTTTCCAATATCATTTTTTCCTATTTTGCCATTACCTTGTTTTTTCTTTTTTTAAATTTTTTTATTTCATTTGTTTAAATATAATACAAAAAATTTTGAATTTTTATACGATTTTATAGAAGAAATTCTAAAATAACACTTTAAAAAATAGTAACAAATTGAAAGAAAAACAAAGAAATAAAAAAAAGAGCGACCTAAGATTTATTACCTTAAAACATTTAGAAAAGAATAGGAAAAAAATACATTTATTAACGTTTATAGATGAAATATTGGATAAATGTCTCTTTCCAGTCATTACAACAAAATGTAAGGACCTTTGATGTCTTCTTCAAAATAGAGAGACCTGAGAGTTATTTCAACAAAACTCGCGTCACCCGTGAGTAATTTTCTGTGATTATTTGGTCAAAATGTCAAATCATGGAGTAAATAAAGAAGACAATTTGAATATTTGACCTATGAACCATAGTGACCACCAATTCTCTTCAGCTACAGCCTACAAGACACTGCATTTCATGATTACAAATTTGGGGTTGTTGTAAATTTGAAGGGCTATGGCAAAAAAAAAATAATCTATCAACAAGTATTTATGCCATTCAAGAATGAATGTCAAGACACCCAACAACAACACCAAGCAAACCCAGTAGAATCCCACAAAAGCAGGGTCTGGGGAGGGTGTGTACCGAGAAACCTTACCCCTTCTAGGAAGAAGAGAAGGCGTTTCCAAGAGATCCCCGGCTCGAGACAACCAAAATGCTATATCTCTGGCTTTAAGGGAAAAAAGATAGTGTGCTCATCACAAGCTTCTTTGGTTATATTTTGGCGGATTGTTTTTCGCGACTTCAACCGCTATCATCCACCCATTAATGATCTGCAAAGAGTTTTAACATCCCCTAAAGAATTATGGTTGTGAATACTTGGCATTTCGGGTGGGAAGAATAATACAATGAACATCGAAAATATAGTCATTTGCAGCAATTGCTAACCTTGCCATTCATCTGATTGAGAGCAGCAATCGCAGCCTCTTCTGTGGTGTACTCTACAAAACCATATCCTTTTGACCTCTTGGAAATCTTGTCCATTATTATTTTCACTGTCCATATTTCGGGAGGGTAAAAAAATCACACTTCCTTTTAAGGAAATCAATATGTAGTTCACAACATTTCTCTCTCCCGAACAGATTTTAACCACTCACTTTTCAATTTCCAACACTTTTTCTTAAACCCCTTCAAGTTAAACAAGTAACTTCTTTACGAGGTGGAGGGAGTATTGCATTGAAAAGCAGTGGAAGACGATAATTCATCATAACGACAGGTAAAATACCTCCAACAAGTTCCCCATAGCTTTCAAACGCTGCACGCAATGTTTTCTCAGACGTATAGAAGGATAGGCCTAACAAAACATAACAATTTACACGCATCAGTTCTCACAAAACTGAAATCACGGGTGAGAGTTACTCCATCTTTCTCTTTTGATCTTCTCACTTCCCTTTTTTGGATGCCCCTAATTAATTTTCTCTTTTCCTTTTAAAGAAAGAATTCTATGGTTCACATTTGTTCTCTCTCCTCAGCACAAATTCAACCACACAATTTCACATTTGACAAACTCCGTCTAAAGTAAAAATGAGAAGATTATTTAGGGATGGATAGAGTATTTAGCTGAAATGGTACTCTCTAAAGCGCAAAACGTTTGGCACCGTCTATATTGGCCAAAATAAGCAAGTCAAAAGGAAAAAAAACCTAACTACTAGATGGAGGGTAATGTCCCCATGAAGGCCATGATGATGTAACATTGTTGGGTGAATCTAGAGTTTGGGGCTTGAAAATTAAAACTCACCGGTAACAAAAAGCTTCTTGGTTTGAACATTTGATGTTGAGAAATCTCGTGCATCGTCAGTATGCTTTGATCTTGAACCTTCTTCATAATCTTTATCCTCTGACTCAAACTTGTGATCAGGGTGGACAGACAAAACTCCTGGCAATCCTGCATTAGATCAATCAAGTAAACTTAGGTTCAATCTAAGTTGCACGAAGACGAGGAGATGTATTCATACAGGAACAGGGCCGAGAACGAGGAAATTTCAAAACTTTACAAAGGATCTGAATGGGGGGGGCGTCTCCAAGTACCCAAAAGAGGGGATGTTTCAGGGATGGAAGTGACACTTATTTGAAGAATCAATGAAACATAGGATTCAATAGTGTTTGTTTTGTTGGAGGTTATTCGGGTGAGGAGAAGATTNACTGTTTGTTTAAAAGTATTGGATTGCGGAGAAGTAAAAATCCCCCCCCCCCAACTCCAACCAAAAAAACTCTTATACTCTGTACAATAACCCCTTCAACGAATCAAACAAGGTAACTCTCATCTTGAACAAAACATGCCCTTATCAAGAAGATTGAAAATCAAGCAGTCATAAGGGGATACTTACCAGCTAATTTATGTGCACATTCTTCATCTATTTCACAACAAAACCCATATTCAGTTTCCCACTGTACATCATACAAGCACCTTTGAGCATCCTTCTCACTGACAACAAACATCTCAAATAATAATAATTATTATTATTATTGAAATGAAAAATAGAAAATGAACCATAATTTAAAGAAATAATCATTGTTATGGGTCAAACTCTACCACAAAGTTAAACTCAACCAAAAGATTTTACACTCTAATACATCCCTCTCACTAGATTTGTTTTGCTTGAACCTTGCAAGTAAACATTAATAAGTTTTCAAACTGGAGGGTATGAGATTCAAACCCATTATTAAGGAATCAATACAACTAAAAACTCCAACTTTTGATTGGATACCAAGAAAGGTTTCAAACCCAAGCTGATCATACACAATAAATGTTAAAAAGGAAATCTTTCAAACATGAAAAATGGATGTGGGTACAAGAGAAACCTGCACAAGACTCTCTCTAGGGTCTTCACATAGTAATCAATGATCTGAGGCTTGGAAGTTAGGCCCTGTTTGGGAGGTTCCATGAGCACAATCCAGTGCTGGTGCCAATTATTAATTGAAGCTGCACAATCAAAGGGCTTATTTGAGGCTGTGGTGGGAATTGCTCTGAAACTATAACAGAGATTTGATGAAGATGACGATGGGTAGAATTTGGAAGGTCCTGAAGAGCTGGAGATGGCGAATTGGAAATGGGGTTTGGAAGATCTTGCTGTAAATTTTGGGATTTTGGAGAGGGGTGTTATTGAGGAAGAAAGAATCACTTCCATATTTCGCCCCGCCAAACGACCCCTCAAACTTGATTTTTTGTCCATTATGATTTATGAATGTGACCTGCACCATGGAGGGTGCCACCATCAGTGCATCCATGCTTCGCACAGAAAAACACAGACTGTAATTGTTTGTGCGACACAGACAATTATCGTCTGTGTTTGTCTGTGCGAAGCATGAGTGCACCCATGGTAGCACCCATGTGGTGACACCCTAGCATTTTCCTATTTTATAATATGAGTAATAAAAATAGACAAACAAAGTGAGTTATATTTGACCTTTAAATAGTGTAAGTGGACGGAGGGAATAATATTTTAAATAATGTTTTTATGGAATATTTAGTTTTGAAATCCTTAAAGCTGTTTTTTTAAAACACATTAAAGTTGCATTTAGTTATAGGATATTATTTCAAAATACAAAAATTAAATGCTAAAACAGGTTGCTTATTGTGTATACTCCTTGCCCTGAAATGATCTTCCGAACTCAATTTGCGAGATTTGGCTAAAATTATTTTCTATTCAATTTATTTGACTATTAATGTAAAATTAAAAAGTAAAAATATTATATTTTGAAACTACATCAAAAGTTTTAGAAAACAAGAGCTGACATGACTATATTATTTTATCAAATAACTAACGAAATATAGGTAAAGAAAATGACTAAAATTTGATCGAATAGTGACTGAAAAGATCATTTAAGACAGACAAAGTATTATCATGTTTAGGTTCGTACATTTTTTAATATCTAAGAAGTTCACTTGAAACTTTAAGAGTTATTTTGTGTATGCATACACATGTAAAGAGGATGTATTTGAAAATGATACGGAGTATTAGGGAGGATTCACACATGAGTATAAATTCTCCTCTCAATGAATGCACCAATTTGAGACCAAAATCTCCGGGTGTGTATTTTTTGGTCTATACGATATATGTATAAAATATAGGAAATATATGAACAAGAACTTTGACAATAAACTTTGACGTGGAAACCAAATCGGTGAAAACCACATGCCTTTTTTGGCGGTACTATGCCAACGCGGGTGTTTTGTTATACTTCGGGAGTATATTTGTACAGCACATCGACGTGACAGCCCTTGATGGAGCTCGAAGCTCCAGCGAGAAGGAGAAGACGAATAGAGTGAATATAACATGTGTGGAATGTAGAAAGTGGCTCCCATTTCTTCTTGGATCTGTGTCTCTTATATATATGGCATTAAAGCAGGAACCTAGGGTTAGGGTTTTCTTATGGGCTTCTCGCGTGGACTGACCCCAGTATCTTTAATTAAGCCCAATGGATATTTTTCTCCATCAGAATTTTATCTTTATTTTATAACGAGTGAAGTTGATGTATAATTTTGATGGAGGTAAAAAGAAAGTTAATAAAGGACTCCTAAAATTACTTTTGAAAAGGTGAACAAATATACTAGAAGGGCTTCACGTTGAGTATAAATGATCATTTTGTCTTGTATACACTGTTTATTGTTTACCCTAGGGTTTGGCTATAGTCTAGAATATGAATTATGTATACATGAATTTTAAATTAAATCCGTGTGTTAAGATGATTGTGTGAAAAAAATAGGGCTATAATTGACAAAATGGCCAAAAAAGGTGACTCAAATATGCAAAGGTGAAAGAAAAACATGTGAATGGTTATTGTTTAACTCAGCTCCATTTTTCTTATTGTATTTTAGTTAACTCAAGTAATTTAAATCACCTAAAATAATTCAAGATAATTATGTTTCTGTGGTCTTAAGATTCACACATAAAATGTAGATTTTCTCAAATTTCACATGAGTTCACAGTTTTATTTCTTTTGTGGCAAAAGACCAAATCCTTTCATTCTGTTTATATAGTACATACTAAAACTCATAAAATAAGTGTGAATCCAAAGATCAAATAACATTTTACCTACCAAAAGGAGATTGAAAATATTTTTTTAGTCAATTCAAATTGTTGTAGTCAAATAAAGTGTCTATTTTGCTTGTCAAGAAAGGTGAAGCCCACAATAGTAAATACTAATGCAAGTACAACACAATGCATAAAAAAAGTTCACATTTTTTTCTTTTTTCATCTGTTGCAACTTCACGCTTCACTATTATAAAATCCACCGTATCCCTCACAATCTTTTTTACGTCTCGTAACAATTATCAATCGCACACTTTTTATTTGTTAACACCCATCGAAAACCTCGTAAAGTCAAACTATTAAGTTTATTTTCAGTATAGAGCATTAGCAAAGACCAGTGTACAGAGAAGTATTGTAATCTGTAATATTAACATGATAATAATGCTACAGAGAAATTGGCATTTGGACAATTGAATGAATTGCAGTGACTCTATGATTCAAAACTATGCAATTTATGTGAAGGAAAAAAACATTTCATCACTTTGTGAGACTGATAAATGGGCAGTAACTTTTTCCATCCAAATTCTGCAATTTATATGAAGAAAACACAAAGTCCATTCCATTCCTCCATGGCTCTCCATCCAAATTCTGCCATTTCTATAGCTGCCGAGTTTTAGCCTTCGTGTTTGTTCAATAAAGAAGCGGCGCTTCAATGGTGTCGTTCTCGGAGGCCTTGTTTGGCAGTGTTTGTGTTGGCAGCGTGCACACGCAGCACAAGGAGATGGCCTGATAACACACGTTCGCGTAGTTCGTTAGATTGTTGGGAATGATATGAAAGAGTTTAAGGAGGAAGAATAGACTGTTCGAAAAGATTTCTCGTTGTTTAACGCCACGGTTCTTTTGCAACTGGATTCTAGTGCCATGATATGACATTGTTTCGATTTGAGACCCCTACGTTGCTTCGTTTGACCCCCGAACTTGTTTTTATCTCCTTGCCCCCTCCTTTGGGTGACAATTCAGTGTCAAAATTTTGGGGAGGTAGGGTGGGGTGCAAGGGTGGGCTAGGGGGCTTGAGGAACTTCAAATGAACCGGTGTCATATTATGACACTGGGATTCAGTGTCAAACGCACCCCGTTTGTTTGAAACTTTCTATTACTCCGTACAATTCTTTTCATTTCCTAGGCTTCCAAACACCGCCTAAAGGAGGGGCAAATGTGGGGGTGGAGGTTTAAAACAAAGGTAAGTAATGAGAGGTAGAAACATTACAAAGCACAAAGAGGCACATAAAATGCTGAACCCCTTGCAGTTGAATGGCGCATTCTCAGACAAGAACAAAGCTGAAAGAACATAAAAACCATTAATATACAACAAACCCAGTAGAATTTCACGACAGTAAAGCCTGAGAAGCGAAAAATGTTGTTGAAACTCACTTGTCAATGGGGTCATTGCCAATGGCGACAAGAAATACGCCATTGCTCTCACCCCAGCAGCAAATCCTAGCACTTTTCCCTGCGCGACGATTATAAAATTTATGCGAAAAAAAAACATCATTCTGAATAAATGTGTTAAACAGTTTCCACGTTCGTTGGAGTTTTATCTCAGAACTCGTCTCGGATAAAAAAAATTCAAACCTGATCGCTTGGGCTCGTTGCTCGAGATATCACAGCATAAGTCTGTCATGATTCAAAATAAAAAGGCTGTGTCAGCTTTATCGTCATCTTTTTATGATACTGCCCCTTTTGGTCCACGCCGTCACTGATTTGTTTTTTTTTTGACTTGTCCCAAAAGGTATCGCACTAATGGAATTGGGTGACAAACTCGTGCGTGGAATTCCCAAGAGAAGGGTGGTACTTACAGCAGGTGTAATTAAGACGAAGACGACTCCAAACGATGCACTCAAATAGGCAACCTGCACGGGTCAATTCTTTGTTGTTAAGATCCACTGAAGGTGCCCCATGGTTCATAATAAGACAGGTAAAATGACGATCTAATCCCTATTCGTATCGGCAGATGAACTTGGTTTGTAAAAGAACATACCCAAGGTGCCCAAGCAAATCCATAAAGCAATGCCTGCCCAAAAAAATACCCATTTAAAGGTACATAACCAATTGATTCAAACTTGAACCTTACTTGTTACTGATGCCTTACATATGCTAGTGATGACAACAAGGATACGAAAAAGATCAGCTTTTCCCCAACGAACGGATTGATAACCGGAAGCACCACCATCTTGAAACAACAACAACAAGTCCAGTAAAATCCCACAAAAAGTAGAGACTGTTTTAAAGACACTCCGACTCAAACAAAAATATAAAATAGTGTAATGCAAGTAGTGAAGTACCTGAGATATAATTGAACCTATTCCCACCACCATCAAAACTTCTGACAACTGGTTTTTGTCAAATCCAAACGCAGCCTTCAAATAATACTGCATATTTTCGAGTAACAGAATACTTAAAAAAATGCTTCTCAAATAGACGCCTTCCTTCAACCTTTCGAAAAAGGAAAGACTTACCAATAAGACCGCGTCAATGCCGGAAACTCCCAACTTGAAGAAGAAAGAAATTAGAATGACACACTTCAGTGTTGGACTAATAGGGGAAGACAAGAAAAGAATGAAACTATTTCAGCAAAGCATTGGCTATAACTCATATTCTTATATAGTAGTCTTTTTTAGCCATAGAAAAACAAAAAGTACCTGCTAAGGACAATACGTGCAGCAGATCGCATAGAGTCGTATCGCTCCCATAGAATCCTTTTAGCCTTATTCATTTGAGGAAAACTTTGATTCGCTCCGCTTGTTTGCTTGAGTGTCTCCACTAGAAACAATGCCATATACACGGGGACGAATATCAAGAGACCCAATGAAACCTGAACTCACCCAGAATGAATGGATGCCAAAACATAATGACGACAAAAAAAACTGTGGAATGCCAGCATAAAATGCCAAACTGCAGGCATTTCACAGTGCCAACATACGAGGTTTTGTTTTGAATTTTTATATAAGTTCCATGCTTTAGTGTTACTAAGAACCTGGAAGATGATGCCCTCGGGAAGAACACGCGCCAAGGCATCTCCGAGGACATGGGAAGCCGAAAAGAGACCAGTCATCCAACTGAAAACTGCAAATCTGTTGCTCTCATCAATAACATCCGCCTGCAATATATATATCATCTCAGGATATTAGACTAGGGTATGCACATTTCCTAAAACCAATTAACACAGGGTAATACCGCATAGGCAAAGGAAAGGCAGAAAAGGTTGCCATGGCTGCTGAATATGTTAGAAAGCGTCCGAAGAGCATAGTACGCGTACACAAAACCCGCCGACTGATTAATGACAAGCAAAACTGCAGACAGATGAAAGAAAATCAAATCACTACCAAGAATGCAGAGAGAACACTCAAAAAAATAGGGAGTGCATGGTTAGAATGTTTGATGCATAATGGGACAATATAAGATCTTGATGATGAGTTAAACAACCAATAATTATAGGAAAGCATTAACAATAAAAATATTAATTTTAAGTACTTATAAGTAGGCAAATTATAACATACTGTAAGGTAAGATCGTCGTCGATACAGCGATGAGTAGGAACGGTTTTCTACCATAATCATCTGAAAGTTGGCCAAGTAGAGGAACAACCACCATTCTAAATATCCCAACAACCTGCATTTAAAGATTAGTCACATAATTAGGGACAACTTTAATTCTCTAATTCAGGTCCTGTTCTTTTGAGTTGGAATTTCAGGATTGGATGTTGGAAGAAACTAAATTAAATGATCACCCAAATATGTAAAAAAAATTCAATCAATTAAATGATCACTCAAATAAATATGTAATTTTGATCAAAAAGGGATTCATCGTTGTTCGTATTTGAGGTGGTATTTTATAAATTTGGATATATAATGTTATTATATATTCATCATATATAAATACTTTTTTAGGTTATTGTTGAAAGAAACTAGAGGGAGTTTGAAGGATCTCGAAAGATTTGCAAGAAACTGAAAGCAGTTGGAAAAAATTGAAAGTTAATTTTTCCCAACCCAAAAGAACAAGACCTAAGAGTATGATGGTGGCAGTGTGGTGGTGGACCGGTCAATGGTAGTCAACGCCGGCTACCGTTGACAGTGCTTTGATGACGTACGGCTGCGCTATACCAACGACGACAACGATAGTAGATGGTGGTGTGACATGGCATATGACTATGGCACTAATTGATAATGATAGCGTGGACTTATATTTAGGTCTTAAAGAAATCAACCAAAATAGGAGTTAAAAAAACCATTATTCCTAAAATAGAAGTAACATGTTTTTATCTTCAAAATAAGACTTTGCACTGTGACAATCTGACACCATACTGGCATTCTACAATACTTTTTTAAGATTATATGTTGTCATTATTGACACTGCAACTCATATTTTGATGATAAAAATATGAAGGTCTTATCTTGGTTCGTTCTCTAAGTTTATTTTGGTCTTTCTCTGATCCTTGGCTCTTAAAAGAATGTTACTCCTATTTTGGGTATTGACATGTTATTTTATTCCTATTTAGAGAATTCTTCCTACTTTATACCCTACTTTATTTGTGTTTCTTTTTTTATATCATAAATATTAAGTAATTCACTTAACCTTATCTTCATGTAATTATTTATAAAATTCACATCAAAAATAAAATAAAAAGGTCATTTGTAAATTGTAATGCAACTAAAATGCCTACCTTTCTTACCCAAAAAAAAAAAAAAATCTTAGCCCAAAAGAAAATGCGCTTCAATAGTCATAAGGGTTATCCTTAATCCTTATCCACAACACAATTGGTCTGTCAACCCAAAATAGAAAAAGACAAAAAAAAGAAGCTAAAATAATGTGGTATAGGGCAAAAGACACATGGGAGTACTAAATGTCAAAATATTCACACGTCAGAAAGTAAATGTTTTGGCGAAGACAGATCAAGCCAAGAAAATAAATATGCACTAAAAAACAGATTATTTGCACCTGTAATCCTATACAGATGAAGACAAATCAACAGTGCCTCTTAGACAACTAAAAAATCAACCCAACTTGGAAGAAGAAATTAATTTATAGGGAAAACAATCATTTGATTTCAGAAAAACCAAGAATGGTTGAAAATTCCAGGAAAAATTGGTTCTTGGTATGAAAACCCAACATTGGACAGGTATTAAATTCTTCTCTCTTTTTTTTTAAAAAGAAAGCTAAAAAAAACTTTTTCTAAAGCATAAATCTTAGATGAAATGGAAGAAATTAATTTATAGAAGAAAAAAAAAGAATTCTTCATTTCAGAAATCCAAGAGGAGTTGTGATTTTACAAAAAAAACAAAGAAAGAAAGAAAACCAAGAAAAGTTGGGAATCCCAAGAACAATGGATTCTTGATATCAAACCCAACATTAGAAAGGTGAAATCTTTTACCCCTCTTATTTTAAAGAAAGCAAAAAACTTGTCTTTTGTTCCAAAGAAGAAGAAGAAGAAGAAGAAGCTATAAGGTAATAAGAAATTAAGTAAGAGAGAGAGAGAGAGAGAGAGTACAGTTTGTTGGAGTCCAGTGATGTAAATAGCCTGAGAGCAAGAGGAATAGGGATTGCAGAGGGCTTTGGTGGTGACATCAACCAGAACAGATCTGGTCATCTCCTCTGCTATCAAATGAATAATTATTGGCACCAGCAGCTGCACTAAACCTTTCCACTCCCCTCCCATTCTTCTTCTTCTCCTTCTTCTATTCTATACCTTTACACCCTACAACTTCCTCTTCCTATAAAGGTAGCCAACCAATTCAATCATTAGTGAGGAAACAACTTCAATTATATGTGTGTGTGTGTGTATCCTGCATCCCATGTTTTCCATTTAGTTTAGCTTATAACCACAATATTTAGCTTTAACGTTTTGAAAATGATCAAAACAACCCTAACGATATCGTTTAGTTTTAATATTTTCACAATTAATTTTTATAATTAAAAATTTATTCAAAAGGATAATGCTGAATTACTTTTGGAACAAAAGTTGTGGACGTACAGTTCCTTCAAAAAAAATTGATGGACTATGATGGTAAAGTGGATGACTTGTATGCGAGGCTGTTGATGCTTATTGGCTACTTTTGGCAACTTTAGAAATTGTTTACTTTTCCAAAAAGTGTATATTACTTTCTGCCTCGGGAAATGATCTTCTCAATTAATTTCTTTTTGTCAAAGTCTATAAACTTTGATATCGATATATGAAAAAAATACCTTGTATTTCGATATAAATGTAATAGCAATAATTTTCTCATGAAACATAGTTTTGAAATATTTAATCTTCATAAAATAGATACATGTATAAGTGTAGTTATTAATAGTCAAAGTATTACATTGGAAATCGTGAAAAGTCAAATAAAAAATAATTTCAAGACTGAGGAGTAAATCCCAATTTGTAAATTTATACACCAGACTCTCTACACCATTGATATACTCCTGACATTACTTTTCACTTTTACACTTAAATAAGTTTTGTTTCGTTAAATAAAGTGGTTATGGGAGGGGGAGAAAGAGGAGAGGAGGAGGAGATGGAGATGGAAGAGAAAGAGATGAGGAGAAGAAGAAGAAGAAAACTTAGGAGAAGAAGAGAGAAAAAGGAATGGCAAAGATGGAGGAGAACCAAACGATGAGAGAAGAAAAATGAGGAGAATGGGTATTTTTGGAAGAGTTGGAATTCAAAAGGTAGAAAGGGAAATTATTTTCGGACAAAAAAAGGTACTCCTTAGAATGGAAAGATTATTTGAGGGAGTAGGCAATTTCAAACTGTTATGATCAAATAAAATGTCTATTTCGCTTGCCAAAGAAAGTTTAAGCCCACAATAGTAAATACTTATGTATATACAATACGGAGTAGTACATAATATTGCCTCCCTCTCAAAATGAAATTCACACTTTTTTCTTTTTCACCCATCGTAAAATAAACTTTCACGCTTCACTCTTTTTCTCCCCTCTTAACAATTATCAACCAAACACTATTTATTTGTTAACACCTATCCAAAACTTTGTAAAGTCAAACTATTGAGTTTATTTCAGCAAAGACCAGTGCACTAAGAAGTATTGCAATTTGTATTATTATTATTAACATGATAATAATGCTACAGAGAGTTTGGCATTTGGACAGTTGAATGAATTGCAGTGATTCTATGGTCCAAAACTATGCAATTGATGTGAAGAAAAAAAACATTTCATCACTTTGTGAGACTGGTAAATGGCAGTAACTTTTTCCATCCAAGTTCTGCAACTTACAACACTATACATTTGAATGGAGAAAACACTCACTCCATTCCTCCATCCAAACTCTGGCACTGTACATTTGCTTACTACCATACATGATAAAACTGCTGATAAAAGTAATGCCACCATCCAAATCCTGCTGAATTTTACGCTTCGTCGTCAATAAAGAAGCGGCGTTTCAATGCTGTCGTCTTCAGAGGCCTTGTTTAAAGAACATACCCAGGGTGCCCAAGCAAATCCGTAAAGCAATGCCTGCCCAAAAAAAGACCCATTTAAAGTACATAACCAATTGATTCAAACTTGGAACCTAATTTGTTAATGGTGCCTTACATATGCTAGTGATGACAACAAGGATATGAAAAAGATCAGCTTTTCCCCAACGAACGGATTGATAACCGGAAGCACCACCATCTTGAAACAAAAACAACAAGTCCAGTAAAACCCCATAAAAAGTAAGGTCTGGGAGGGTGTAGGTACACAGACTTTACCCATACTCAGAAGTAGAGAGACTGTTTTCATGACACTCCGACTCGAACAAAAATATAAAATAGTGTCATGAAAGTAGTAAAGTACCTGAGATATAATTGAACCTATTCCCACCAGCATCAGAACTTCTGACAACTGGTTTTTGTCAAATCCAAACGTAACCTTTAAATAATACTGCATATTTTTCAAAACACATGGAACCCGTCGTAAAAAGAGAGAGTACTTATAACTTACATCCGGATGTACGGTGTTTCTCGTAAATCTGCATGAATACTCATTCTCGAGTGATAGAATACTCAAAAAATGCTTTTCAAATAGACGCATGCCTTCAATCTTTCAAAAAAGGAAAGACTTACCAACAAGACCGCATCAATGCCGGAAACTCCCAACTTGAGAAAGAAATTAGAATGACACACTTCAGTGTTGGACTAATAAGGGAAGACAAGAATGAAACTATTTCAGCAAAGCATTGGTTATAATTCATATTCTTATATATTAGTTCTTTTAGATCTATCATTCCTAATAAAAACAAAATATACCTGCTTAGGACAATACGTGCAGCAGATCGCATAGATTCGTATCGCTCCCATAGAATCCTTTTAGCCTTATTCACTTGAGGAAAACTTTGATCCGCTCTGCTTGTTGGCTTGATTGTCTCCACTAGAAACAATGCCATATACACGGGGACGAATATCAAGAGACCTAATGAAACCTGAATTCACCGAGAATAAATGGATGCCAAAACGTAATGACAAGAAACACTAAAATGCCCGCATACAGTGCCAGACTGCAGACGTTTCACAGTGTCAAGATAGGAGGTTTTATTTTGATATAAGTTCCATGTTTCAGTGTTATTTAGAGAGATTTCTTAAAGAAATTCCACAAGAACCTGAAAGATGATGCTCTCGGGAAGAACACGCGCCAAGGCATCTCCGAGGACACGGGAAGCCGAAAAGAGGCCAGTCATCCAACTGAAAACTGCAAATCTATTGCTCTCATCAATAACATCCGCCTGCAATATATATATCATCTCAAGACTTGAAGTCCCATTCTCATACTAAAAGCTCTATAAGCTGTGTTGGCAATGTGTACATTTGTTTGTCATGTGGCGAACGGCCAAAGGCCGTGTGGGCCAACTCAGAGTCGAATGTCACAAGCGTCTGTGTTCTGAATATACTATTAGACTAGAGTATGCACATTTCCTAAAACCAATCAACACAGGAACATACCGCATAGGAAAATGAGAGGCAGAAAAGGTTGCCATTGTAGCTGAATATGTTACATAGCATGCCAAGAGCATAGTATGCGTACACAAAACCCGTCGACTGATTAATGACAAGAAAAAGTGCAAAAAAAGAAAATCAAATCACTAACAAGATTGCAGAAAGAACACAAAAAATAGGGAGTGCATGGTTAGAATGTTTGATGCATAATGGTACAATATAAGATCTTGATTGTGAGGTAAACAATCAGTAATTATAGGAAAGCATTAAGAGTAAAAAAAATATAAATTTTAAGTATTTATAAGTAGGCATATTATAACATACTGTAAGGTAAGATCGTCGTCGATACAGCCAGAAGTAGGAACGGTTTTCTACCATAATCATCTGAAAGCTGGCCTAGTATAGGAACAACCACCATCATGAATAACTCAACAACCTGCATTTACAGATTAGTCACATAATTAGTGACATAACTTCAATTCTCTACATAAGAGTGTGATGGTGGACCACTGGTCAATGATAGTCAAAGCCGACGAGCGACAGCAACGCTTCGGATACATACGGTTAGAGTTGGAAATCAGATCAATCGGATCAGTTCCAGTTTAGAATCATTCAGTTCAGATATCTTTCAAATATTTTTTATAATCGGTTTGGATTAATTTCAATTCGGTTTCATACATTTTTTGGTTCCGGTTTGGTTCTGAGATGGTTCAGATTCGGTTCAGATGCCAATTTGTTTGGATCGATTTCGGTTTCGGATACATTTCAGTTCGGATATATTTAAGTTCGGATATATTTTGGTTTCGGATATATATACATATATGTTATTTTCGAATTAAAAATTAATTATTCGTTCATTTTTTGTCATGTCACATTTATCAATCTATCATCAATTCATCATTTCATATTATTTTATACTTCTTATGTCCTACATATCTTCTATTCTATCTTTTTTGTCATCTTTTATAAATTTGGATTACGAAATATGAAAGAAAAAATGTATTTAGTTCTGATATAAAATTAATATGATTGGATTACCATATCACATACAATTTGGTTAAAATATGTTAAATTGATTGAAATTGAATGCAATTAGATAAAATTTGAGTGAAATTAAATACAATTCAAAGCACATGTTTGGCCAACCATACAATATTGCATGAGAGTGGGTGAAAAAAATTTGTTTAACTGTGATTTAGTTTGTATGAATTTTAACTAACATTCTTTATGTAAGTTATAATGTTTATTTTTATACCAATTTATAAAAAAATTAAAAAATATGAAAATTTACATTTTGTTTGGATATGGTAATTCATTTTGGACAAAGGAAGTAAGTAATATAAATATATAACTAGTTCATATTGTAAAATAAAAATTTGAAATCAAATGTAATTCTTCACTAATTTACATAAAAAATAATATGTTTATTGTCAAGCAAAATCAATTTCGGATATAATCGATTTCAGATCTTGTTGGTTTTCGATTTTATCGGTTTCGGATCTTACCAGTTTCGGGTCTTATCGGATTTGAATCTAATCAGTTTAGGTTTTAAATTAAGTGTGGAAATGTTTAGTTCAATTTCGTTTCAATTTGGATCATTTTGCTTTTCGGTTATAAATCAAATCTTTATTTTTCAGATCATTTCGGTCTCGGGTCATTAGGCTCGGATAATCTGTTTCGGATCTATTTTGCCAGGTCTACGTACGGTTGCGCTACCAACGGTGACAATGAAAATAGATGGTGGTCTGACATGGCGCATGAGAATGTGGCACTGATTGACAATGACAATGTGGACTCATATTTAGGTCTTAAAGAAATCACCCAAAAATTGGTATAAAACATAGCCATTATTCCCAAAATAGGAATAACATGGTTTTATCTCCAAAATTAAACTTTGCATTGTGACAATAGGACATCTTATACTGATCTTCTAGAATATTTGTTTGATATTACATGCTAACATTATTATTAGACTATATATTTTGTACGGAGACACTGTAGCGGCGATGGTGGTGGCGGGGGAGGGAGACACTATAGCGGCGATGGTGGTGGCGGGGGAGGTAGTGTTGTAGCGTCTACGGTGGTGATGATGGTAGTATGGCGATGGAAGGTGGCAGGGGCAGTGTGGTGGCAGTTGTGGCAGTGATATCGTGTGGTGATGGTGGCAGTGTCATAGTGTGCCGGTGGCGGAGGCAATGGTAGTGTGGTAGCGATGACAATGTAGCGGTGGCGGCGGCAGAGAGAGGCAATTTGGCCATGGCGGTGGTGGTGATGTTGTGGCGGAGAGGGGAGGGATGGGAATGTGGCGCTGCAGGATGGTTGTATATATGAAGACGACGGTGGTGGTGATCATGGTAGTGTGGCAGCGGAAAAAGCAGTGCGACAAAATTGACAGTGTGGCGGTAGAGGTGGTAGTGTGACGGTGGCTGTGGTAGTGTGGTGGAGGGTGGCAGGTTTTGGGGGTAGTGAATTTTGAGGTAGAGATAGTTGGTGACGGGGTAAATTAGGCAAAAATCAACTCGTATTACTTGGTCTGCTTCTATTAAGTAAAAAAACATCTTAATAATACTCCTATTTTGGTGTTGGACTTCTTTTTACTCTTATTTAGGGAGTTTATTTTTTTCTTTTTCAATAATGTCATTTAACTCTCTAAAATATTCGAAAATAACACAAATATTTTAAAATAGTCACAATGCTTTTTAATAGGCAAATTTTTGTGTTCCTTTTCTTTACTTTTTCTATAGTTTTTTTTGTTATTTTTGTGTGGTTCAATGGTGCATCTAGCCATCCAGGCCCACAGAGATTAATTTATTTAAATTTCGGTTTTGTATTGCTCCGTGCGTACAAAATTTATTTTCTTGATAAGCTTTGGCACAAACTAAAAACTGAAATGAGCGGTTGAAAATTATACAGAGGCAAAAGAAAGATGGCGAAAAAAAATCCCAAAAAAAGAAAATAATAGAAACATGAGGTTTTTTTGGACATCCCGAATAAGAAACAACATTAATTTGGAACAAATCGAGTATATTATTAAAATGATTCTTATTTTATTTGATATATTTCTAATAAGTTAACATGTGACTTGAAAACTATTCTCTTATTTAAACAAATTTCAACAGAGTTTGTTGCACCATTACCCCTTGTGGTTTGTAAATGTCCACTCTTACTCACATGCTTTCAAACTTACATATTGTCTCTCGTGGTTTTCATATTCATACGCCAATGCCCTACCAGACTAGAATATTATTCAAATCTTATGTGAATATCTATGTTGCCCCTATGGTCTGAAAAAATTTATGACTCTTATTTTGGTATTTTCATATTTTTTACTCCTATCTAGGGAGTTCTCCCTTTGAAATAGACACAACGCTTCTGCTCATTTCTAATTATTTTTCTTTTTTTCCTTTTTTTCATAAATGTTTTTGAAGTTTTTTTAACTAGTTTTTATAATGTTTCAAAACCATAAGTTCTCGTGTTTGAAATAAAAAGAATTATAGCACATAACATTTGTCTCAAATTAAACATTTTCATGCTTTCTCTAAAAAACGGTCCTTATTGGTTCAAATCAATGAAATACTTTTTTGCACTGAAACTCATTTCTCATTTCTGATTGTTTTCTGGTTTCTTTTTTTACATTTTGTTTAAGTTTTTAATTTTTTAAAAAAATTAAATTTATATTCTCTTTTATTCTAATCAAAAAAAATAAAACAAAAGAATAGAAAAAAAGGAAAAAAAGAAAAAGTTTATGAAAAAAACTTTTCTATAACAAAAAAGGAAAAACTAAGTCAAGAAGGAAATCTATTTGGCACCGGTCCAAAAAAAAGATCGTACTCCGTATTTTATGTCCCAACAGATTCAAAAAAAATAAAAATATTTTTATACAAATTAAAAAAATGAAAATATTAAATTTGGGACAAAAGAGGTATATGTTAATTTTTTATTTCATTTTTTATTTCAAATACAAATTATTTTTATTTTTTTAAAACATTTTTAAAAAAATATTTTTAAAAAACTTGCTGACATTTATGAAAAATGAAGAAATCAAAACGATAAAGAAAAAAGAGAGCGGCATTGGTGCCTATTTCCAACACCATAGAGGGCAGCGCCCGAATATTTGAAGAGTATTTTGGCGGAGAGGGGCATTGGCATATGTATATCAGAACGAGGATGAGCAACGACGTAAGTTTTGAAATCATAGAGGTGATGATGCATATTTATCAAACCACATGGGGTGTTGGTGCAATAAACTCAATTTCAACAACACACTCTTCACTTTTATAATAAAAAATTAAGTTGATTTTTTAGAGAAATTCAAAAAAAAATGTGTGTATTTTTAGTAGCATTTTTGAGAATTTAAGTGAGTTTAATAGCATTATTGAAACAAATATATAGGTCGTGACACTTTTGACAAAACATAATACTTGGGTGACACTTTTGAACAGTTCACAGAGTTCAATGATATTATTAATTTTTTTTCAAAAGAGTGATATTTTTGTTAAAAAATAAAAACTTGAGTGGCATTCGCTTAGAGCATGATTAATGGAGAGGAATGAAGTGGAGAATATGATGATGTGGAGAAGGAAAGAAGGGTACAATGATAAGAAAGGGGAAGGGAATAGAGGAGATAGATGAGGAGAGGAGAATAATATTCCCCTAGAGAGAGAAAAAAGATCACTTATTAAATTTTTAAATTTTTTTGTACAAATAGAGTGAAGACATGTGGAAAAAAATAATTAAAAAAAGCAAGGAAATATGACTTTCAAAAAATAGCAATGCTAGGTTCACAGAATAGTCACAAACTTCACAAATCTACCATTTAGGGTTTAAATTTTCATTTTGAAATTATTTTAAACTATTTAATATTTTATTGAAGTTCGCAAATAATAAAATTGTGACTTTTGTGATCATTTTGTTTGTGAATCTAGTATTTATCTTCAAGAAAGGTTTTGGTAGGGGTACAACAGCTTTTGCACAACAAGTGTATAAATCAAATTTGTTATAGACACACAGAGTCACAGACATCATCTATGTGTGCGGGCTAGGGGTGTTCAATCAGATCGATCCGATTCGATCCGAAAATTCGGATATCCGAAAATTTCGGATCACGTAAAACTCATTCCATATCCGATCTGAAAATATTCGGATATCTGAAATTCGGATATCCGATTTTTCGGATCGGATCATTAGATTATCCGAAAAGTTGAGTTTTTAGCCAAAATTTACAAAAAAAAGGTAAAATAATAAAATCAACCCAAAATATCAAATTCAATATAGATTTACTAAAAGAAAAATTCCACCACTAGGTAATGGCCTAATAAAAAATGATACCAAATTTAATTTGGGAGTAACTTTGGTAATTTTTCCTAAACAAACAAAAAAACACTATTAAAACAAAAGATTCTAAAATGCTAATGTAAAAAGTCCAAAATGGTTGAGTTCCAAAATCAACATAAAATTACATTTAAACATATAGTCATAAGATATATCCATAAAATTCCAAAAACATATAGCAAAAAAAAAATCGGATATCCGGTTATCCGAAAAATTCCAGAAATTGAATCCATATCCGATCCGATTTTTTTCGGGTATCCGATCCGAAATATCCAAAAGCTAAAGTATCGGATTGGATATCCATTTTTCGGATTGGATCGGCCTGGATCGTGGACGGATATTTCGGATCGGATATTCTTGAACACCCCTAGTGCGGGCCCTGTTACAACCTTGGTGTACCCACCAGCTTATGCACTAAAAAACAGATGGATAATTCTATGGGGGATATGTACACGGGATGTCCTCCATATACTCCATATCCCCCTCCAAAAAAAATTCCCTCCACCCCCCTCGTCGTCAAGCACTGGAAACGTCTCATAAGCCCAAATCTGAGAAAATAAAACACATGGAAATGAATACTTTAAATTATATATGTTACAATCTGAGAAAATAAATTATACATGCTTGGAGGGGGGTGGAGGGAATTTTTTTTGGAGGGGGGGTATGGAGTATATGGAGGACATCCGGTGTACATATCCGGTGTCCCCATAGAATTATCCAAACAGATTATTTGCACCTGTTCTTAGCAGCAGCGATACAGATGAAGACAAATCAACAGTGCCTCTTAGACAACTAAAAATCAACCCAACATGGTGTGGGTACACACACACACAATCACTAATGATTGGTTGGCTACCCTTATAGGAAGAGGAAGTGGTATATGAGTGGGTACAAAGGTGTTCTTTGTGGGTGGTGAAAATAATTAAAGGTATAGTAGAAGAAGAAGAAGAAGAAGAAGAAGAAGAAGAAGAACACCTTTGTATATATATATATACAAATTATTTTCATTAGTGATTGTGTGTGTATATATATATATGTACCCACACCATGTTTTCGCGTTTAGTTTTAGCATTTTGAAAAGTCTATACAATGACATAGCATTTAACATTTTGAGAAAGATTAGACTACCTAAACAAATCCTTTACTTTTAACATTTTCGTAGTTAATTTTTATAATTAGAAATCTTTTCAAAATGGTAACTTTGCTCATAGCTCATATGAAAAGCTCTTTCCAGAGAAGACATGTATGTGTTGCATTACATTTGGAACAAAAGTTTGTGGACAATGGTAAAGTGGTATGACTGGTTTATGGGAGGCTGTCGGTGCTTATTGGCTAGTACTTTTTCCTATTTTTGTAACTTTGGAAACCGTTTCTTCTTCCGAAAATACTTGGGTACACCAAGTTAACCCTACTTAAATAAGTGTCTTTTGGTTAAATAAAGTAGTTATGGGACGCGGGTAGTGCGGGTGGCGAGTGACGGTGGGGGTGGGTGGCACTGGGTGGGGGTCGGGTGGAGGGTGGCCGAAGGATGTGGCGGGGTAGGCGGAGGGGAGAAGCCCCGGAGCAGGGGCAGGTGCCGAGTGACAGAGGACGATGGGAAAAATAAATTTGAACAAATAATGTAAAATGAATGAAATAATTACGGATTACGGAGGATACTCATAAGAAACGCCCTGAGTGGTCCAAATAAATTTTATCATACATGTATTATATTATTCTTTCTGGGGTGAATCTATTACAGTCATTGATATTATTGGATTACAGAACCGGGAGAAATAAAAAAAATGGGGGTTTCAAATGGAAAATCTAACAATGTCTTGTTCAGATCATGTTGCAGACTCCAATGGCGTTTGCTTCCCCAGGTCCAAGGTAAAGCTTTTCCCAATCGGCTGATTTAACCCAGAGATCTCCACCGCACCACCAGTGCCACTCTTCAATCCAAGAACCGTCACTTTCTCTATGACCCAACCACCACTGGCGGCGAAATCCGGATTCGTGACCTCTGATGTGAGGGTAACAACGTTTCCCGCCGCTGTTCTGGTCTGAAATCGCACGAAACTCCACTTCCCGCCAGCGCCCCCCATCTCGGCTTCCTCTCCATCGTCCAAGAAAAGCTCGCCTGAACTGTTCCCGGAGCTGTCGAGTGCCGCCAGCAGTTCAAAGGAAGTGTTCCTGGCTGCTCGTGTCGTCAGGGCCTCTCCCTGCATTGCCAGGATGTTGCCCTCCCGGAGATGGACATTTATGTGATCCAGAGGAGCGTCGAGAGTCGCGTTCTCGCCGGATTTTGATGTCACGGAGTTGGAATAGTTGAAGAGGTCGTACCAAGTTCCAGCTGGGAAATATGCTTCGACAGAGACAGCGCCACTGGTGAGCACAGGGGATATGAGGAGACCCTTGCCGACTAGGAACTGCGAGTAGACCTCGTGTGTGTTGGTGTCATGAGGGAATGAGAAGAAGAGAGGCCTTGCGATGGGGACCCCGCGTAGGTGGGCCTCGTACATTAATGTGTAGAAGTATGGGAGTAGGCGATAGCGCAACCCAAGCACCTTCTTTGCGGATGCAGCGACTGAGTCCCAAATGTAGAGCTCATGACGGTTGCTAGACTTGTCTCCGTGGTTTCTTGAAAATGGATAGAATGCCCCTACCTACATTCAAATACATTGTTTACATATTTTATTCTAACAACCTCAATGATTTCCCTAAGGGCAATGGTTAGCAAAACCGTTCACGCTTAAAGTAACAATGCATGTGGCTTAATGTATGAACTATATATATACAAATCAATATATAGAGCAACGAGCTCCTAAAAAGATCGAATATGCAATTAGAAAAGGTATTTGGTTCACCTGGATCCACCGATTACAAAGCTCCTCAGTTGTACTTCTAAGAAAGCCACAAATATCAGCACCAACCATGGGAATACCAAAGAGTCCAGAACTCAAGATGCTTGGAATGCTGAAAGCCAAATCATCCCAACTTGCAGCATTGTCACCGGTCCAATGTGCAGTGTATTTGCCAGAGCCCACAAAAGTAGACCTGCTCAGCACAAAAGGTCTCTTCCCAGTGAGATTCAGTAGAGCTTGGTTAGTAGCTTTTGATTCAAGGAAACCATAAAGGTTGTGGACATTATAATCCGGAATGTTGCCAAAATGAATTGCCGTTGCTGGGATGGTCTTCTCATTGATTGCCCTCTTGTTCCCAGAGTTGTTGATCTGGTAAGGAGGGTTGTCAAGAGTAGAATTTCCATTGGAGGGGGATGTTATGAAATTAGATACTTCGTTCATGTCAATCCAAAGACCATCGAACTCAACAGTGTCTCTGAATATTTTGATCTCATTGCTCCAGAAGGCAGTGGTGGCCGGGTTTACAAAGTCCGGGAAATACACATTCCCTGGCCAAACTTGTCCAAGATAAGGAACACCATCGCGCTTGATGTAAATATCAGCTTCGAGCCCTCTCTTGTAGGTATCGTACGAGTCGCTTGTGCTAATCCCTGGTTAATTCAGGCAAAAGAAACTAAATTACAAGAACGAATACTAAACAAGAAAGATGCACAAGTGATACTAAGCTTTGCAACAATGGGTTCATTCATTCATAAAAAAATCATACGCCAGTCTTGAGGTGAACTCACCTGGATCAAGAATGAGAACATATTTCTGGGCGTTCTTATGGAGGCTATCAATAAAAGTCTTCATCCTGTCCGCCGGGAAGTTAACAGGATCCAAAGTGAAATCCTTGTAGGCATCCATGTGGTCAATGTCTGTCCACACAACCTCAAGGGGTATGGAGGCATTTGCATAGCCAGCAACCACACCTTCAAGATCATCAACATCCTTATAACCATACCTGCACTGGTGGAATCCTGCAAATGTGAATTCCAATCATATTCCACCTGATTAGTGATTAGGCCGGGGCAAAAGAAGGATGAAACCCAGATAATGCATATGTTAGTTAAGAGTACTAACCAAAAGACCAGTAAGGCATGGGAGCAGGGCGGCCAATGAGATTGGTGTACTGATCCAACACCAATTCCGGCGTGGGACCGGCGAAGAAATAGAGGTCAATGACACCGCCGATCGCCTTGTAAGTGATCCTATCGCCGGTGTACACGACGTCCATGCCGTTGCTATTGAGCAGCAAGACCCCATGCGCGTCTCCGGAGGACCGGACGTCCATGTAGAAAGGGTGGGAACCATACAGATTTAGGTCCCGGTTGAAGCTGGCTATGTCCGCCGCCCACAGCGTTAGGGTTTGAGGACTCTGGAGCTTGAACGTTCCCTTCGTGTGCTCTCCGATCCCGTACAGAGACGATCGGTTGGACGGCAACGCCGACGAGATCTGCAGGTACTGATCCTTGAATACGAGTAGCGAATCGCTGGTGCCGCTGGACGGAGAGGCGTCAAAGACGGCGTCGTTCGAGGATTTCCGGCGGACAGAGAAGCCGAACGGGGTGGTGTTGAAGAGATTGAAAACCAGGTCTGAGTTCGGATCACTGATGACGGCGGCGGATGCCCCATCGCTGTTCGTATCATTCGCATTGTCTCCTCCCAATAGCGATGGGGATGATGAATTGCGAGGTATGAACTCTTCTGGAATCTCCCATCTTTGGTTATCTGCATCTGTGATCTTCACTCTCAACCGGCCTCCGATCTCAAAGCTGCATATTTCAAACACAATTTAAATACGGAGTATTAAGCACTTTCAATCCGCCGGAGAACTCTTCTAGCAGGAATCAGGTGGCCGGAGACGCGCTCCATTGGTAAATATTTATCCATTTTTCCATCAAAATTGAGATTTTTTTTATCACAAATTAATTAAAAGTCATATTGGACATTGATACAAAATTATTGTTTTATCTAATTAATATATTATATATATTATTTAATTATAAATCAAAAATTGAAATGATTGACTGCAAAAAATCAAAATTAGACAAATATTTTAAGAGGTAAATAATATTATTAAAGTCCATTGATGAAAGCCATCGTTTGTGGTTCTAAACAAGTTACTCTTTCCCCGTTAATTTTCTCCTTAAATTTCAACCCAATTTATTTTATTAAAAATTTAAAAATAAAATACTTTCTCCATCGCAAAATAAGTTATACTCTTCACTAGTTAAAAGTCACCAAAATTTTTGTTTATTTATGTACTTTCATTGATTATTTGATAAATATAAAATAGTTTGTCAAATTTTCTTTTGTAGAACTTTTGATATATACTTTTTAAAAATGTAAGTTTTTTATTTTTTATTTCTATACCAATCTTTTTTAAAACAACTTTAAATAAAATTATTTGAAAAACTTAGAATTTTACTTTATTTTGCTTAAAGTACAATTAATTTAGGAACGAAGGAGTATATATACATTTCATCACATTTAACGCATATTTTTTTAATATTTCAAATCAATTGAAATTTAACGCATATTTACATTTCATCACATTCTTTCACACTTAGCAGAGCACACATTTTTCATCACTCCGGATCATACATGTTTACACCCCTTCAAGTCCCTCGTCAAGCCCACCATAACACATTGCCTTAGAATAAAACGAGTTTGAAAAGCTTCATTTCCCTCAAATTTTACATTTTTACTGTACATTTCAATTAGACCATGTGTTATGGCGGGCTTGATGGAGTGCCTTGCAGGCGCCTCGTAAGCGATTGGGTGTGAGTAAAAAATATGTTTTATGGGCTTGAAAGGGGGTGTGACCAAAAAGTGATGGTGTAAAAATGTGAATTATTTTG